CCCACCCCCCCCCCACCCCCCCCCAACCCCTCAATGCAACTCAAATGCGGCGAATCAGCCATCACTCTCGTTTCTCGCCGCTGCAGGGCCGTACAAGACCTGCGCCTTCAGATTCATGAAGGCGGGTTCAGGGTAGAGGCACGTCTTAGAGACATTGACTAAATGTATATTTCCCAAGTGCTAAAAAAATAAAATGGGATTCTTGTTACAAAGCATATATTTTTCACAAAACCGGGCCTGCGCATGAAATGACCCGTAGGTCCCGTTTCACCCAATGGATATCAACATTATGACTATGTACAGTACACGATAAAAATATTATAGAAATATAAGATCCCGTTCCGGTTCCCTCAAAGTAGCCAAGCTGTAGTGCTGTCGTGGCTAGAGTCACACCCCACACCTGGTCCTGTCCTTGATGAGGATTTCCTGACTTTCCCGCACACACTTCAGTTGCCGTTGTTCACAAGCCCTAGCCAAATCTACTTCATCAGCTTAAGTTCACACCCAAATCAAAAAAAAAGAACAGACCTTAACATCCCACCAAAACAATACCCCAGGTTGAAAACCTCACTCAAAGCAACAACCCCGCAACAACAGGCGCCACCCCCCAAAACACAGTGTGCGGCCCCAACAACCGCCCGGCCCCGTTATGCTCCACGGGGAAGGCGTCCGGGTCGTCAGTGTTGCAGTGGCCCTCGGTCTCGGTCGAGCTCAGCGTGCAGTTGGCGGTGCGGCCGTCGGCGCTCTCGAAGGTCAGCACGGCGCTGTACCAGTCCACCGTGACCGAGGCGTCGCCGCAGATGGACTTGGTCTGGACGCCCGTGTTGCGGCCGCACGACTTCTTGAACGGCTTCGACGAGCCCTTGCAGCCGAACAGCTCGTCCTCGAGGATCACCGAACAGTGCGACACGTACGAGTTGGCCGGCGGGTTGGTCGTCCGGATCTTGATCTCCGCCGCGCGGAGGGTCTGCGCGAGGGCGAGGAGGGCGCCGATCTTGAGGAGGTGCATGGTTGATGTGGGCGTGGGGAGTTTGGAGGTTGGGGTGAAAGTTGCCAATTAAGAAGCCCGAGAAGAAGACTAGGAGTGTGCAGGCTGAAGAACTGGCGTTTATATGCTTTGTGGCCTACTACGGGCAATTCTCGGCTATCCCGGCACGTCGAGTCGGGTGCTCGGGACCCTGAAGGGTTTTTGTGTGATAGACTTCCAGTCATGCTGAGGCTTTTCGGGCGTTGAGGGGCTCCACTGTCCTTTCTGTCCTAATACTGTATGGAAAGGAAGCCCTGCGGTCTTTTTGAGCGCTTGTACTGTACAAGAACCGCTGGGAGCAGTTAGTACTTCCAGAGCATCCGTGCCGGCGATCCGCATCGGGCTTGGCAGGGTACGGCTTGGCGTATAGGGTCTTTTCCATGACATAACAAAGTAAGAGCTACTGCTGAAAGCACGGCGCATTGATGATACACATAACAAATAGATTGATGCTTGACTTGAATATATGATAGCCGTCTCGTTTTGATTATATGTGCGTGCAGAAGAGAAACACCGCAATTGAAAGGGTTTCTCTCCCTCAGACCACAAACTCGTCTAGCCTCTAGGACTCCGGGACATCCGGGCAGGGTCCACTCCATCCGACTGGTGTCGAGTGAAGACGTTGTTCCTGATCCAAGATGAGAAAGGCGATTCACAAAAAAGGCAAATCGAAAATTAGTAGGCCAAGGGTCACATGGTTTCTTACAGTCTAGATAAGCATAGGTAGTATAATTAAATCCCGCACACGGACGAGTCATTGGCAACTTGGCAGTCATCATTGATGCTCGAAGCTACTCGGGCAAGGTCACGAGCATTGAAGCTGTGCCTGAGGATTGTTCTGGATTACGATACCTTACTCAGGTACCAGCTTTGTCATGAAAAAAACTTATAGCTACTCTGCGGGTGCAATCCACTACTAGGTAGAGCTCTACAGTAAGTATCAAGCAGTTAGCCACGACCACGCGATAGGTGGACGCAAACAAGTCCGCCCAATGAAGGGCACCGACTAACCTACCACCTACCGTATCATCCTCTTCTACTCCCATAATCTCTTACCCTGATCCTCAGAATGAACCCTAATACCTACGGTACCATCTACACCATCATCACCTCACAATTCCCACAGCATCCATTCTCATCCTCACTCTCCGAATCCTCATCAAAGAAACTCCCTTCGGATTCATCCACCACCCCCAATGTCCCCCGCAGCGACCGCAGCCACTCCTCCACCCGTGTCCGATCCTGCACAAGACACAGCACCTTACACAGCCCCCGCCGACACCCATCCTCACCCTGCAGATTCTGGAACCACACGTGGCCCCCCACCGCAATCCCGAGCACAAACTCCGGCAGCAGCGCGGAGTCCGCCACCACCAGCTGCTGCTGCTGCAGGAGGGCCAGCTTCCGCTGTCGGATCTCGCGGAGCTGGAGCTCCGGACTGGCCTGTGTGGTGGTTGCATCGTGGCAGATGATCTGGATGACGATGCTGTCCTTCCCGTTTGGCGGAAGGGGGCTCGCGAGATCGATGATCTCGTAGGGGAGCGGGTTTTGTGTGGCTGACTCGAAGAATCGGCGGGTGAGGAGTCGGTAGTTCTGGTCCTGGCTGTCGCTGCTGCGGGGAAAGACAAGCGCGCGGCCGAGGATCTGGGCCCATAGTTTAGCGGTCTCGCGGGCGCTCGGTTGGGTGTTGGACTGGATGGCTTCGAGGTAGGTCCGGATGTGCGGGTCGGCCCAGTAGGACCAGGGGCGCTGCGTGCGGGCTGTGGTTTTGCACTGGGGGGGCAGAGTTAGTTCGATTGTTTGGGTGCTGTAGCTTTGGGGGTTTTGGGATGGGGTGGCCATTTTGATTGGGGGGGGGGTGTTGTTTCTTGTTGGGTTTGGGAGGTTAAGGTAGAAGGGTGGTTCTAGATGATGTCTGCTGGTTGGAGCCATGAGAATGCTGGGGTGCATAATGCTTTGGCATTTTAGATAGGCGTATTTATACCCTACGTGGTGGAGAGGTTATGATCGAAGAGAAAGAAGTGTGTAGAAAGAGAGTTGGTGTAGCCTTTGTGTTGGTTTCTGAAGGAGGGTGAGAAGGGATGATGTGGTCTCATTATGGTTATATAACTGTGAAGGGCAGCAGAGTGAGGATTGTCTTGCAGTTTTGTTTATACTAGATACCACATTGTGAGCAATGCTTTCTATTTCAAGAGAGAGATAGAAAAAGTATGCAAGAAGCTTAATCGTTGAGTGGCATGCTTGTGATGTATGCCTTTGTCATTTTCCTTTGTTCGGTTTGTCTTGGTATAGCTCTTTGTTCTTGAATGTTGCTGCACCCGACTCGGCTTCGTTCGCATTCTTAGATTGGGTTACAGCAGGCTGTTCAATCATTGGCACTTCTTGTCAATCTTCTCAGGCTGATGCAGGGGTATGTATATGCTTATATAATGGGGCATAAACAAGCAATTACTTACGTATGTTAGCGTCTCGGTTGAGTGCACCAAAGTTTTACAATAGCTCGGGAGAAGTAAATCTAATACCGAGTTGCACAGGGGAGCTGATTTTAACTAAAACAGTGGATCGTTGTCTCTATACTCCAGATTTTTCCCCGCCCTAAGTAACCTGAAATAACTTATGGCACGGACTGCGCGGGTTTAGCTAGTACATCCAACATAGCCAAAAACTACCTCCAATCAAAGATTCAAGCTCATAGTAGTTTTCTTAGTTGCTTGGTAGCGACCTGTGCCTGCTTCTATTACACATAAGAAAAAATTGTATGTGAGGTACGACAATGTGAACCTGAGAGACTTAAGGGTAACGAGGTAGTTACTAATTCGATGTGGAATATACATATCATTTAGGAGTATCTTGCAAAGTAGTATTATACTAACATCAACTAGCATCATTGGTCTAGTGGTAGAATTCATCGTTGCCATCGATGAGGCCCGTGTTCGATTCACGGATGATGCACTCACTTTTTGCCCTTTCTTTTTTCCTTCCCCTTCCTGTCCACCCGATCCTCTCTGTTCTGTTCTGTCTCCTTGCTCCGTTTATTTTCCTTTATTACACCAATCTTGATTTGCTTCTTTCCTTATGTACTTCTTGCTATCGTGAACCCACTTCCTATCAGAGAATGGTCGCCCCAAAACCGGTGCAACTTGGTATTCCCTCCTGGATAGCCTTTACCCTTACAACTAGCTCATCTACAGTGGCCAGGTTATCTAACTGCACACACCATGCTGGTTCGTCGATCTTCTCACGAGTGTGGTCGCCAGATTCGTTTCTTTATGACCATATAGGCCTGATTCTCACATACCTACAAGGTGTTATAGCTTCGTTGACATAAAAGAGTATACTGAGCGCTATCAGGACATTGACTACATTCTTCAATCTATTCATGACTTATATCGGTCTCATCGGCTCCGGCATCTATCTCCCGTAGTAGATAGAAAAAACCTTACCTGCCTTCAATAGACTTTAATATTCGCGGCGATGTATTCTCATTGAGAAGGTCAAGGTAATACTCTATTCACGCACAGTCAGCCAAACCCAGTCCTAGAAACCTTTGGTCAACGTACCGCAACATAGCCACCTTGCGTTCGCTAGTTTCAAGAATCCTCTCAGAACTCGTAACGTTCTCAATGCCTCACTTGAGTCGGCTTCCATCCACATCCTCGCTGTCACTAGGGCCGCCGCTTTATACACAAGAAATATGATAAATGGAGGGAGGCGATTCAAGTCTATGGACTGTGTACCACCGACAAAAGGGCGGACCATGTTGGTTATGGCGGTGAGAACAGGGTTTAGAGATGATGTGGCAAGTGATTGGCAAGTTAAAGTTTGTTCGTCAATAACCTGAATCTTAGAGCCGTTCTCGTAGGCGAGTAGCAGGCCACTGTGCAGCGTTAGCGTCGAAGTGAATATTTCAAGAAGATCTGAACAAAAGGAAAGGGGCTCAACTAACGTATGACAAAGCCCTAGCCCACCGGAGTATACCTGGTCGGCATCTTCAACCTCTTCGATAAGGAGAGTGCGGAGGCAATATGATGTCTCCACCAAAAGCCCTATTTCTGCCACGTTGAATGCTTGTTCTGAAGTGGGGTTGTGTAACACATTGTGTATTTTGTCAAGAATTGTAGACGCTTCGAAGATACGGAAGAGTTGCCAGAGAGGACTCCTTGTGTCTTTCTCGAGCTCGGTGGGCCAGGGGGTCATGTTGGTATTGTGGAGATCCTTGGCGAGAGAACGCGTGAGAGATGGTCGATATCCAGATTGTACTGTTATGTATCTAAGAAGTGTCAATACAGAGCGGAGTCGTAGTTTCTGAGGAATTAATGGAGGCCTGCACCTGTCCAGAATACGGATTGCCCACCCAATTACTATGGCCTCCTCGTTCCCTGACTCATCAGAAGAAGACGATGAGGATAACGGAGATGAGTGAGCGTGATCTTTAGTTGCGTCGGCAGCTCTGACGGTAGTCCCAATAGAGATGTAAGCTGCCGGGTAGAAGCCATGTGCAACTTCAAACAGAGTGACCAAAACCCTTGCTTGGACGATCTTGAGCGAGGTGATACCGAGTCCTTCGATCACTGCTATCCAGCTCTTAACATGTAGGTACGTGGACTGAAAACCAGATCGAGTCCCGCCTCCCTCTTCAGGAGGCGGGGAGGTACAAAGCAGGGTAATGCAGAGGGCGAGGAGAGTGTAATCCAGGGAAGCTTCATTCCAAGAGCTCGGAAGCTGATCCTTTGATGTTTGTGCGATGATAGGGAACCAAGGATGGATGGCTTGGATGTATGTCACAAATATATCGCCCGGGCTCGATGAGAGTTTCTTAGCAATGGCGTCTTTGATATGACCCGGACCTAAGGTTTCAAGGGGGAGCTCTGCGTCGAGAGAGGACGATGGTTTCGAATTTGAAGATGTTGTCACTAGTCCTTCATAGTGGCAGGCTTGACGAAGCCTAAAGTCCATTATGAATTCCAGCGCTACCAAATACCATTCCAACAAGCACTCTCCTCCGGCATAGTCCGCATTCAGGAGTAGCCCTGTCACATCGCCTCTTCTGGGATCTACATCGTGCGCAAGCCTTTTTGGCGAGGTGTACCCGAAGGCGACCTTCCATTCTGGCAAGTTAATCCTGATTAATATCAAGGGATGGATTGCGGGATACGGGTAATGTACTGTGTAAATCGGCATTCCGGCGGGAAATTTAAAGCGTTTCATACTTAGTCAGCCGAAGCTGCGGTCGCCACCCCGGCGTGGTGCGGCGTGGTGCGGCGTGGTTCAAGGAGTGAGAGCGGGAATAGTGCGGACTTTTGTGGATTTGGTGCGGATTCTTAATAGGCTTTTAGTAAGGTAATTTGAATGCTTTATAATGACTGTCTTTGAACATGAATATATAATAGTCTTATGTTCCGCGATAGAAATTTCTTCGTAACTCATTCCTCACTCTCTAAAGCGCTCTCAAGTTAATAGTGGTTTTCAGCACGATGCCTCAGATTGAAACTGTTGCGATTGCTGGCGTAAGGATTCCGAAGAATATATAAGAGTCTGATAGCTAATACTTTATTTAGGCATCTGGCACCCTGGGACCCTACGTGTTCCAAGCACTTATCAATGCAGGCTTTCGGGTCTCAGTTCTGACTCGTTCTCGAAAACCTGGAGCATATACCTCGGACGTTAACGTCTTTGAAGTTGACTTCAATTCAGTGAAGTCACTAACCACTGCACTTGAAGGTGTGGATGCTGTCGTATCCACAGTCAGTGGCGCAGCAGTCGAGGATCAGACTGTGCTTATCGACGCCGCTGTTGCCGCAGGAGTGAAGCGTTTCATTCCTTCTGAGTTTGGCAACGTTACCACCAATCCGAAGCTCGAAAATTTTCCAATCTATAGTTCCATGTTCAAGATTCGGAACTATCTCCAAGAAAAGGCAGCAGCTGGAGAGCTATCGTGGACTGTTCTTGCATGTGGCGCCTTCTTGGACTCTGTTTTGACCACTCCCGTTTTGCTGGACCTCCAGAACCATACTGTGACTATGCTCGACGACGGTGACAATCGGATCAGTTCGACCTCCTTGCCTGTGGTGGGAAAAGCTATCGCTGCAATCTTACAAAACTTTGACGCCACTCAGAACAAAGTCATACATGTATCCGAGGCAATTCTGACTCAAAACAAACTGATTGGGTTTGTAAAGGAGCTTCGGCCTGATATCAAATGGAGGACTAGCAAGGAGCAGACAAGCGTGCTTTTGCAGGAAAGTCTGGAACAATTTGGTGCTGGAGACTTCAGTGTGCCGACTTTCATGAAACTGATGAAAGGTACCGCTCTCGCTGGTGATACTTATGGTGGCGCATTTGATGTGACGGACAATGAGCTGCTTGGCATCAAAGAATTGGCCCCAGCAGACCTGAAGAAGCTTATCGCCGAGAAGCTCGCCTAGAGTAGATTGAAACTGCAGGACCTGAGAAGAACTCTTGCAGCAAGAGCCTGGAATTTCCAATTTGTGATTATGAGCCCTATCTGATTGTGTGAATAATCTGTCAATATCGACCTAACAACATCTCGATGACATCTACTTAACTGAGCCTGATTGCATTGCGCTTGATTTGAATGGCCCACCCCTACCCCTTGATCCTCTTTGGAGGGCCCTAACGACTATTTATATTGTTTAGGGTTTTATCTCCACAGAAGTTTTATTAGAAGACGTTGATGCACTTGACAGCCTCGAACGCGCCCTCACTTTAACATTGGATTACCACCGGTTATCTGGCGAATTCCAGATATACTTCCAACGCACTGGCATATCACATCAGTATAAGATTGACTCGACAGAGCAGAGCTCTTTTCTGCGTGACCCTTTATTTCTCATCACTCGCTCGTTGACCCTTAGCCCTCATCGCACGATAGATCCGCCATCCGCTCAGCTTCTTAATGTCCACCGTGCTATTGCGCATGATGAAACTGAGCGGCGCAGGCGAATATATCGATAAGGTCCTTCGGGATATGGAGGAGTTGAATGTCAGAGAAGATGGATCAAGGCAATTGGAATATCTTGCGGGTCCATGACTTGACGGGTGGTTAACAACCCTATCTGTGTGTTGATGTTTAAAACACTGCATTGATATTATCGATGCGATGATCTTGATATGCCCCAGAATTTGTGTGTTAAACCTCTATTGATACCCTGAAAATTTTGACATATTGCGCGATCTGCAATCGGGCCCAACAAAAATCCGTTTGGGCTAACCACGGAGAGTAAGTTCGAGCTTTGCCCGTAGTAGCTGCGCTACAACTCCTCCAATGTCAAACCTGAGTGCCGAGAGTGTCCCTCGGCACTCTTCCCTCTTGCGCCAACCACGTCAACACACCACTCAAGGGAGTTATCGAAGCCTTGATCGGGAGTTCCCTCGTAAAACTGCCAGTTTCTCCGGATGATGGCTTTGAGCTCAGCAAAGAATTCTTTAATAGGATTTTGAGTCTGGTGAATATGGAGGCAAATACACCAGCTTCACACCGGCTTCAGAACACAACTGTTTTATTTGCTCGGAGTGATGAAAGAATACATTATCCATAATCAGCATAGACTTTGTTCAGGCTACCTCCTACAATACTGAAGAAGTTGCTCGATAAAATTCTCAAAGACAAACGCATTAGTTGAGCCTCGAAATACTCGAGGCAAAATTTATCCAAATATGTACCAGCGTGAAATAGTAATTAGAACTAAAGAAACAATGAAAGAGTGGAAGTGGTTGCACCAATTTCGGGACGGACTGTATTCTCTCATAGAACTATTGCTATCTTCAGTGAAAGTAGTAGAGCCTAATATTCTTAGTTGACCAAGTTATACTTAGTTGAAAAAGCAGAATTAGTATGTGTTCTTTGTTATCTGTAAGATGGAGTTATTTATAAGATGGAGGCGACCCTCTCCTGACAAGAGGTGGGTTAAAAATAGCGACGAGTATATGTTATATCGTCATTAACCGAGACTTCAATTCCAGAAGTCCCACACTGCCAGCTATAAGACATATTCTGGTACCATCAAGTATTATTCTCAAACACCCAATTCGTATCTGCCGAGAATCCCCACATATTGACCAGATCGCTCGGCAGTTGAGAGAAATCGAATTCGTCAACCAACGGCACGATACTGGAGGGCATACCTGGCGCCGACATATCGTGGAACCGCTCTACTGGATAATCCAGCATTTCTTTATCCTGCTCTGACTCTGTCACCGTATCTGCGCAATTGTCAGTTCGACCACAAATCATCACAGACCCTGTCGCAATTCAACCTACTTGCGCCCCCAAGTCTCACAGCACAACCAACCCCGCCGTCACCTCCCGCCACAGCATCCTCGCCCGAGCCATCCACCTTCCGCACCAGGACGCTAATCGCCAACCAGGCCTGCCTCGCCTCCGCCGACTCCCCCTGATACTGACTCAGGATCCCCTGCGAAGTGCGTAACGCGAGCAGCAGCGCCTCCGTCCCCGGATTGTATACGTGTGTGTCCCCGCCACCCTCTCGCCCCCGCAAATGCAGCTCGAAACACACCACCATGGCAGCGAAGATGAAATCATGGGTCGTCAACGAGGTGACGAACCAGCGACACCGACTCAGCACCCCGCCCGGCTGAACCTGCGCGTCGATCGTCGCCTGATGCCGCAGCAACCGCATCGCGGCGTCCAGGCACACCCTCGACGCGGCGCCTCGTGGATCCTGTGGATCCGAGCGGCGTCGGCCATCGCCGAGTCCTTGCCGGTGGAGAATACACCGCGACTTCAGGTAGAGGATCTCGAGATTATAGCGTAGCATCACGAGATGCGGGAGCTCTGTGACCGAGGCCCCCACCTCGCGGAACTTCAGGACGGTCGGCGTGCCCGCGTAGGCGGCGTTAAGCTGCTCGTCCAGTTGAACTACTTGGCTCGGGGCCGTGGGGACCGTGGAAGCGACGTGATCCGCGATGCGGCCGAATACCTCCGCCAGCCGGCTCTTGGCGATGAGATACAGGACCGGCGTGAACTCGGTCTCCGGACGGGGCGGCGGGAGACTGGTGGACGTTGGACCGAAGTCCTCGTCCAGCAAGTTGCGCGGTGGCCGGGTGTCGGCCACCCCGCTGGCGATCATGCGCGGCAGTCCGATCTGGAACGAAAACAGCGCGTCGAGCTGCGCCATCAGCGACCACAGGCGCCGGCGCATTTCGGCATCGAAGCAGGAGAGTTTTGGGGAGTACCCCACCCCGTCGCGGTGGAGCCCGGCCCGCATCGCCAGGCGGATGGTCATCCCCATCAGGAGCCAGACTTCGTGCTGGGCGTCTTTGCTGCGGAAGTACTCGGTCTGTGTGTATAGGGCCAGCGCTTCGAGGGTGTATTTGGTCGGGGTGGTGTATTTGGCGGTCACGAGGCAGTAGGCGGCTTGCAGGCGGAAGGTCTCGCATTGGGTCTCGGGGGTGGTGATGTTGTTGTTGTTGTTGTTGATGGGGTCCGGTGTGGCGGGGCCTTCGGTGCGTTGGTGCAGGTGGATGGCGAGATTCATTATGCTGAAGAGGATGCTGAGCCATGTGGGGCTGATGGATTGGGGATCAGTCCAGAAGTGGTCATACTGGGCTTTTGTCAGTAGGTGCGGTAAGCACAGGTTGTGGTGGTGGGTGAGAGACCTCTTGCTGGAAGGTAGGGGCGTGAATGATTACTGACGGGTTGAGATCAGTTGACTTGGCATTATGATGAGGCTAGATCAACTCACAAACACCAGGTTCCATCGAACTGAAGAATCGCGATACTAACCGGTCAACGATGGGTCGTGCCGGGATATGAGCCAGGATCTCCTCCATCCCACCCGGTGGTGACAGTCCCAGTAGTAACGCGGACCCTTGCTGGCCGAACTCTGCATCAGGCATAGTGACGGGTGACTCAGAGTCAACATACTCCTTAATCTCAGCAATCTGTTCATATAATGAAATAAACAAGTTAATAATGTGAAGAGTCCTGGAGCATTTGTGACTGCAACATACACTATCCTGAAGTGCGGCCCAGTGCGCACCTGAAACATAGCTCATACCCGTCGGATCTACGCGCATACTTCCCAACGAGCTGGTGATTACATCTTGCCCATCTGCTTCGTCAACTTGCCTCTTCTGCGCGGTGTGCAGGGGGCCAGTCTCATGACCTGCGTCCCCAGCCTTCTGCAAGACCGTTACGAGCTCCTCGAGTTGCCGAATGCGTTGACTCAAGTGCCGCGCTGATGTGGGAGGATTGCGACGCGAAGTAGCCGAAGTCGGGTGTGTGTAGACGCAGTCCAGACCACGCTTGACACAGCTGCTACACGGTTGGAGGCGATCACATCGCAGTCTTGCATAGGTCAGTGCCTGGGAAATCTTCGGGAGAACAAGGGCGTTTACTTTTTTTGACGACAAAAAGTACAGGACAGGGCTGTTCTTACTGGAGGCTGCAGCGATGCCATGAGTCTGTAGTTCGGTTCTCGTCCAGTGAAGAACAAGACCCAGTCACGCTATAGCTGGTTTGGTGTGAACGATCAATGTGCGGGTGCGGGGTTGTCAGCCGCCGCTTATGTCAGCCCTACACCATCCCTGTTCCACCTGAGGCTTGTTTCGATGCCACTCTTGATGCCAGTTTCGAATGCCATATTATCTGTACTGTAGTCAATCTCTAATACGGGACACAAGACAAGTCGGCTAATGTCCGAAAGTAAGCTTCAATGTGTATTTTTGCTTCTAGAGGAAGAGCGATCTCTTGCAGACCTTGAATCATTACCACACCCAGGAAATATAGCACCAACTAGGCTGGTATGACATCTTTCCAAGAAACATCAAGATTCTAGACCGAGCCAAGTGTAGATTCGCCGATCCATAAATTATAACCTACGAGTAGCTTCGGAGGCGTCTCTCAGGAGTCAAGACGTGTGCCCCTCGGGGCCACCAGCATCTCCGGACTTCCCATCCAGGCCTAGCGCCGGCCCGGAGATGCTAGCGCCGGAAGCAGACGCGCCCCATCGCATCGGGCCCGGGCCCTTGCTCCGGGACCGACCCTCAAGAAACCATAGTATACATAAATGCTCTGACCCAGCCAAGCACGTATCCCATCACCTCCCATTCCCCAAATCCACAACCCTCATCACAGTCACAAAAATCTACTAAGAGCACAACCGAAAATGACAACCCTCCGACAAATCTTCCCCCCACCCCCAACCTTCACCGACCGCACCATCCCCGACCTCACCGGCAAAACCATCCTCATCACCGGCGCCACCTCGGGTGTGGGCTACCACGCCGCCAGCATCCTGTACGGCAAGCACGCAACCGTTTACATTGCCGCGCGCTCCCCCGAGAAAGCCCGGACCGCTATCGCCGCCATCCAGTCCGCCCCGGAGTGCACGCACAGCCGGGGCCGATTAGCGTTTCTCGCGTTAGATCTCGCCGAATTGGGCAGTATCAAGCGCAGCGTTGAGGAGTTTCTGGGGAAGGAGGACCGGCTGGATGTGTTGGTTCATAATGCCGGGGTGATGACGCCGCCGGCGGGGAGTAGGACCGGTCTTGTATGTTGGTTCTCATCCGGTTTTTCTTTTCCGGAAGGCGGAAGATGATGTGCTGATGTCTTGTGATGGGGGTTGGTGAAGGGCCATGACCTCGAGATGAGCACGAATTGCCTCGGTCCCTTTCTGTTGAATCAGCTCCTTCTTCCGGTGTTGCAGCGTACGTCTGCTTCTGCGGAGCCGGGGAGTGTTCGTGTGGTCTGGGTGGCTTCGTTGCTCTCTGCGTTCGTTGCGCATGGGGGGATTGTCTTCGATGAGGAGACTGGCGCCCCTCAGGTGCTAAAGAATGCGATGGAGAATTACATGCAGAGTAAAGTTGGGAATGTGTTTTTGGCGAGTGAGATGGCGAGGCGGGTTGGTAGAGACGGGGTGATGAGCCTGGTTTGTTCCTTTCCTTTCCTTTTCATTTTCTTTCCCAATTGGGGACGCAGAGAAGCTTGTACTGATGAGCGAACCAGAGTGTGAACCCTGGACTCATGAAGACGGAGCTCCAGCGGCATAATTCGCCGGCGCAGGGGAAGATCATGGTACGTCCCTTACTTCGTTTTAAAGTGGTAAAGTGGAATGCGTGCTAATAGTGGCAGGGATTTCTCTTCAAAGGTCCGCGGTACGGAGCGTACAGTGAGCTGTTTGCTGCGCTGTCGCCGGAGGTTACTTACGAGAGAAATGGGGCATTTGTTATCCCCTGGGGTAGGTTTGGGACGGTGCCGTGTCATATTGAGAAGGGGTTGGCTAGTGAGCGGGATGGGGGCACGGGGGCGGCGGAGAGGTTCTGGGGGTGGTGTGAGCGGGAGACGGCTGCTTTTCGCTGAGGAGCTTGTAGCTGTCTACCTGAGCTAGGTCAATACCCTAATTGTGTTCTAAATTTATTAATGAGTGTATCTGTATCACCTACCGTGTCCCATATCGATCACTGTATGCATGTACTTATGACATAGTACAAGAAAGGCAAGCCTCAGCAATCGTTATCGCCCGATAAGCGCGGCAGTTCCAGGCATGGATGCGGCTAGCCCCGAAGTCTAACAAGTGGGGCCCCACATGCGGTCGGACCACGTTGCACAGAAAGGGGAGAGCACAAGCATCCTATACTTAGTAACTTAGACTTGGTGCAAGCCCTGTGGGCCAAAACTTACTGACATATAAACTCCTAATAAAATCCGCAAGCAACCTCTCAACACTCCGAGAAAAACCCCTTACACTTCAAATCACCACCAATGGACACACCAGACTACGAAGCCGAAAAGGCCAAGATGCTCCGCGGCGAGCTCTACCGCGCCTTCACCCCGGGCCTGATCGCCGCCCGCCACCGCTGCAAAGTCGCCGTGAATGCGTTCAACAACGCCGGGATCGTCTCACGACGGCGACAGGTTGAGTTGTGGAGAGCGTAAGCCTTTTGTATGCCCCAGCTTTTTCTAGAGAAAACCTGTTAAGTCTTTGAATAGAATAGTGGAGGACGCCCGCCCCCTTCCACCGCCGGCCACCACTCAAGAAGAAGACGAGGCGCTCCTCGAGCACGAACCCTGGGTGGAAAGTCCCATCCGGATGGACTACGGGTTCAACGTGAGCGTCGGCGCGGGCACGTTCATCAACTTCAACTGCACGATCATCGACACCTGCCGCGTGGTGATCGGGGAGCGGTGTCTGTTCGGCCCGAATGTGAGTCTCTACACGGGACTGCATCCGCTGGACGGGGAGGTGCGGAATGGCACGGCCGGGCCTGAGTGGGGCAAGGAGATCCATATCGGCGATGATTGCTGGTTGGCCGGGGATGTGAAGATTCTGGCGGGGGTGACAGTTGGAAAAGGGTCGACGGTTGGGGCGGGGAGTGTGGTTACTAAGGTTAGCTAACTTGTGCTCTGTGCTAGTGCATGAGGTGCTTGCTGACAACTGTTATAGGACGTACCGCCGTATTGTGTGGTGGTCGGCAATCCAGCGCGGGTATTGAGGTATCTCAAGGGGAGTCCGCATTTCAAGGAGGAAGCGGCATTGGATTAATGGATTTGATGAAAAAAGATAGAGGATAGATCCAAGGTGTTGCAGTCTAATCTTAGTCAGAAGGTTGGGAGCTGAGAAGTAGATATTATCTCTCGGTCAGTAATGCACGGCAAATATGAGGTAATACGATTGTCGGCTCACAATTTGGACGACTAATAACATGAAAAACACAGCAATAAATAGTATAAACGGTGTACAGTCAAGACCCGCTCACAGAATCAACAAAAAATGAAACCGAGAGTGTTGCCCTAGCAAGCATGAAATCTTTCAAAGTGGCAGTCAAGACGTATCCGGCCAGCAACCGTGGCGAAGCTTGAGCGGGTCCGACCCCACCCATCCGGAGCAGTGATCCCAAGGGCTTAGATGGTCCAAGCATTCGAGTCGATACGAAGTCTCGTGCTGCTGGGCATCTGGTGGTGAGCGAAAGTACCGGATCACGGGGTCATTCCTACAAGAGACCCATTGCTCGACAGATCGAATCCTGCCGCCTCGGCCGGCGTCGAGCACGGTCCTATGGGACTGCAGCTGCTCCACATGGATGTGGACGCTGTCCTTGACCGGGAACACGAGTCCATACACGAGAGAATTGTAGGGATACTGGCTCAGTCTGCCTACTTTACCCACAAGCCAAGTCGTATGGACTCGCGCCGCCCCGCCGCATAAAACGTACCACCCCTGATAGACGGGGTAGGACACGAGCCCGTGCCCAGCGATCATCATGGCATCGCCCACGGGGACCCGCATTGGCCGGATGATCCCGTCCCTGTTAAAATCCGCCCAGTAGGAATTGATGCGGGCTTTTTTCGCCATGTATTTAATCGCTAGATATAGCCAAGCATCCGACAGTCGCACCCCGGGCGGCGGCCAACCGTGCACGTTTGGGTCCCAGATGCCCCGGACCAAGGGCCAGTTCGCCCAGTCGGCGGGTGTCGCGATCCTTCCTGACTGCCGGACGGGTGGTGGCGGAGGGGTTGGGTCTCCCAGGGTCCAGTATGTCGTGGGTTCCTGGTAATGGACGAGCAGATCTCTGCATCGAGCGCGCATGCCTTCGAGCTCCTCCCAGTGCTTTCGCGACGGTTCGAAGAACCGACCAAAGTCCAAGTCGATTGGCATGGTTGCGGCTCAAGAGTGTCTGGGGGTGGATTCGAGAGCGTCGGTCCAGTCGATTAAAGTAGACGGTTTGTTTCCAGGAAGAACCCACTTCGACCAGCCGTACAGATGGGACGACTTGGAGAACGAGATGGGTGTATCTTTTATATCCAATTGTTGTCAACAAGAGATCAAAGAAAGTGGATTCGATCATGGGATATTCAGCTGTAGACAAACCTTTAAGTGAAATCCACCACACCGAGAAAACCCTTGTTCAACAACTGCGAGTCTTCAGTATCACTATAGCTTTGCTCCAAAGTAAGTGTATGGTCTGAATCTCTCCACAACGAAGGACATACCGCAGTTTAACTTGATGTTTTCAGAACTAGTGTGTTTAGTTTGTGCTTTCAGGTATGTCCGATGAGTTCAGTCTTGAAGTCTCTCAGTAATTGGCGATGGATGGGAACGGTGACACTTAAGGAAGAAGTTTCACAAAGAAAGAAGAAATTTATTAGTCGATAAAGCGTGTGGACTATCGCTTATAAATGGTGATCGGAGAAGTTGACAGCTTCTGATCACATTCACTGTTAACCACCTGGGGTGAAACATCAAGCTACGGTACTTCATTAGTGACTTATTCACAGAAGTGAACAATGGAGGACAAGAAAGCAGATATTAATTCCAAATCATGAAGATACACAAACTTCTTGAAAAAGTAATAACCAGATAAATTAGCACGATCTAACAATCTTGAATTGGTTGTACAACTTTTCGGATAAAACTTTGCAAGTGTATGCTCTCTAAAGACTTAATCTGATAGATGAGTGCACATTAGACCCTTACATATCACAACTGACGTTCATCGCCAGTGACGATAGGGCTGATTTGCGGAGAATTGATGTATAGACAGAGTTACAGCTGTCATCTATCGATTACATAAGACAGTATTGTCAGTCACTTCACGAGATGTTGCATAGGAAGTAATTTCTTTTTCCAAGGGAATTTTATACTGCTCCCCGGGCCAATGCAACATCGATGTAGTGTAGTTGCCACAGACTGCACAAGCGGATGAATAATCATGCATAAGCACAAGTCTCCACATGGAAAGTCTTCTGTTCGGCTAGACTCCCTTCCTCTTTCTCCCCCCCGATCTATTGGTTATCTTCTCCACAAGCATTGACGAATGTACTATGTCGGCTCGACTTTATATCTCAAGCTAGTCTTAACTTCTGACTATGTGATATGCTACAAAGGACGGCAACAGTTCTCCACATTCCACACCAGAACTACCCAGCTATGGAGTCCGACACGTTGCCTGTTCAGCGCAGGAAGAGGCAATACCAACAACGATCTACTACCGGATGTATAATGTGCCGCACCCGCAAGAAGAAATGTGACGAGCTGCATCCTATTTGCACTGGCTGTCAGCGCAACGGGTTAAGCTGCGAATGGCCCTCTGCAGAGCGACCGCAACGCAAACCGCGCCGGTCACAGCACCACCAGCTGCCGCAGATGGGCTATGCCCTGCCACCGCATATCGAGGCGATGATCACCGTCTTTGCCGTTCCCAACGTCGACATGGCCAGTCGACTTCTGTCTCACTTCACCGACTACAGCCCTCGCTGGCTCTCCACCCGCACAGGACGCCGCCGGTCGGAGTTCCTGAACCACCTGATTCCAGCGGCCATGGATAGTCCACTGATTCTGAAATGCATTTTGACTGTCTCAGCGGCGGACCTGATTAAGTATGATCCCTCCAATGTGGGACTAAAGGGCGCGGCGGTGGAGTACTATGGCCAAGCACTCGCGAACCTTCGTGAGACTATCGCCGATGAAGAGAGATCCGGCACAAGCCTCTCTGGTAAGATTTGCACATTGTGCTGTTGACTCGCGGCTAATGAAACATAGACTACACCCTCTTAGCTGTACTGCTTATCTGTCTTCACGAGGTCAGCATGCCCCCCTGAAACCAGAACCAAAGTCTAATGCACCATAGATCCAAAACTTCACCTCCGTGCACCGCCTTCTTCCCCATCTCAACGCAGCAGCAGCCCTCTTCTCCCACAAACTAGACACCACGGCCGCCCCGCCCAACTCCCAGCTCCGCCAACTTCTGTCCGATCTATTTAGCTACTTCTTCGCCCTGACCACCTTCACCCACGGTCCCCATCTCGCCCTCCATCGGGGCTCCTCAATCCTCGAATCCTACCTCACCACGCCCCATCCCAAAGACACAGGCACAGGCACGGGTGCAATCCTCGGCACCGCCCAACAAACCTTCCTGATTATCTTCCGCGCCTCCCACCTCATCCAACTCGCCAAACAAACCCACACCCCGCTCACCGCCGCCATGAAGACGAAACTCACCGCAATGGAGCGCCAGCTCCACGCCCTCCAAAACAGAACCCTGCCCCCGTTCAACCAGGGCTACACCGATGTCGAAGAACAAGGCGACGCCATCATGTCCGAGTTGTACCGACTGGCGTGTATCATGTATCTGAAACGCACGATCGACCCGGCCCTCGGGATCAAAAGCCACACGATCCAAGCCCTCGTCACGGATTTTATTCGCTTACTGGAACTGCTTCCGCCCCACCACCCGGTGAACTGTATTCTGTGCTGGCCGCTGGTGGTGGCGGGCTTGTGTACGACGCTGCATGCGCATCAGCGGGTGATCACGACGCGGCTGGGCCAGATCTATGGGGTGTGGACGTCGGACTTGGTGACGATGAGCATGGAGCTTCTGCGGCGGGTGCAGGCGGGTGGGGAGGAGTTGCAATGGAAGAGTGGACCCAGTCTGGGTGGTTATGGGATGCATGATTTGCAGTTTGCGATGGTTTTGTTGTAGCTTCGGCGGTTGAGGGCATTTCTTGGGAGTTTCCATTTCTGGTGAATTGGTATGGTGGTGGGGCTGCTATCAGGGAGTTGGGACAGTAATTGTTCAGTTGATGTTGTTGTGCTTGCCGGGTCGTCCTTATCTAGATATCGAACTGTGCCTAACCTAACTTCACAATACCAATCACCTCTTGCATATACGACACACATATAGAGCAGCTATCGACCCAGTCATGAGTACAAAGAATAAGCCTAACGGAGAAGAGATCCAACTTAACAAGCATACACTATAAAGATATAACAGGCACATTTCTCCACACCCCCTGTAACAGTCATTATCCATCGCAACTGTTAACAATGCCATAACCGCACAATCCAGAATTATAAATAAAGCCCCTAAGCAAGAACCCCCTCCAAGCTTTTCAGGTAACATGCCACCGAACCCAGACAACACCACTTATAAAATGGCCCGGTCAACCAACATACCCAGGCTGCACGTTACCACCCCGCGAACCCCATCCCCAGCTCCAGCATCAGAGACCAACCCCTACATCCTAGCAGCCACCATCCGCAACAGGCTGCGTCTCTCCGACCGCACCACTCCGCGCCACTCAGCAAACGCAGCAGCCACCTCATCCGCAAACAGACGTCCCTCGCAGGATATGACCCACCTGCGCCGGCCCCCGTCTCCGCTCCTCCCCAGCAGACAATCCTCCCACCCCTCCATCTCTCCGTGCTCAACCTGGACGGACGACTCCATACCTGACCCGGGCCCTAACCACAGCACCACCCCCAACCCAACAACCATGCCACCCCCGGCACCGGCACCTGCACCCTTACTTTCTAATCCAACCCAACCCCAACCCGCAGCCCAACCCGCACCCCTCAATCCCCCTCCCAATCACCCACCACAACCCCACTCCCACCCCCTCCCGCTAAGCCCCCAACAACCCCCGCCCTTCCTCCCCCTCTACCCCCTGGGCCCCATCACCACCGGCGCCCTCCACCACCTAGCCACCTTCCACCACCACCTCACCTGCACCCGCACCGCCATGGGGTCCCCCAGCTACCGAGTCTTCCTCACGGACCTGCACGACCTAACCACCAACCCCAACGGCATGGACACCGACCGCTGGTCGCGCGCCTGCGAGGACTGCGCCGCGTACTGGGCGCACGTGCCGATGATCCACAAGCCGCGGCTCGGCCGGTTCTACGACAACCTGCCGGGGTACGTGGAGGCGCTGGTGGGGAGCGCGGACCCGCGGGACGGGATCGAGGATCTGATGGCGCGGGACGCGTACACCCTCGAGGCGCTGCGGGCGCTGTACGTGGCCGACGTGTATGTGCAGGGGTGTCGGGCGGCACGGCGGTGGGGGGTGAGCAAGGAGGACTACGAGGAGGCGTTTTTGGTGGAGGCGAAGAAGGTGTGTGATTTGCGGTGGTTGAAGAGGGCGGCGCGGGTGGTGGAGGGGAGGGAGGCGGATATGAAGGGGTGGGGGTTGGGGTAGTCAATTCCGGGGGGAGCGATGGATTTCATCTGAATAGGATGGGTCTAGTTTTAGTTAATTGGATAATATACTGAGTAGCCTGAATTTGAAAATTGAATATGTGCAAAATACACTAATCTGACACTCAAAATGCTATGCTATGTCTAATATCCTGATGCACTACCACTCACCCACCCCCCTCACCGGAATCCTCAACATCCTCAACCCTGGCGAGCCTTCCACCGGCGCAGGCAACCTTCCCCCGCGGACATTCACCTGCAACGCAGCATGCAGCAGCCGGGGCTCCCCCAGCCCCGCATCCCGCTCCCGCCTTACCCGCAAAAACTCCTCCCTTTCCACCCCGTCTTTCAAATGTTGGTTGAATCTCCGATGCTGCTCCACTGTCCCAAACGGCACCACCACCCCCGCCCGCCCCGCCGGCGGATAATCATGTCCCGCCCAGACTTTCGTCTCTGGCGCCATCCCCAGCACGCGGCGCCCGGAGGCCCACAGACTCTCCGCCGACCCGCCGGGGAAGTCGCATCGTGCGGTCCCGATGTCCGGGTTGAAGAGGGAGTCGCCGGCGAAGATGTTGCCTACCACGGTTGTTAGCGTCTGGTGCTTGCAATTTTGATCACAAAGTTGTGATAAAGTGATGCTCGGAAACAGAGAAGGAAGCGGACATACCACCAACCATATACCCCAAATGGTCCGGGGTATGGCCCGGCAGATGCAGCGCGACGGCGTCCAGGGTCCCGATCGTGAAGTGCTCGTCGTCCTGGAAGAGTTTGTCGAATGCGGTGCGGCGGTATTCTTCCTCCGGGATGCTGTAGCGCTGCGCGAACAGGGTTTGGACGTGTTGGATGCGGTGGCCGGCGCAGATGGGGATTTTAGACCGTGCAGCTGAGGAGCTGGGTTGCGACTTGAGTAGCTGGGACTGCAGGTACGCGGCGGCGGTGAGGTGGTCGGCGTGGATGTGCGTCTCCAGGATGTGCGAGATGGTGTAGCCCTTCTGCGCGATGAAGGCGAGCAACGCATCGGCGGTGGTGGTGCTGATGGTCTGGGTGGTGGGGTCGTAGTCCAGAACGGGGTCGATGATGGCGGCGGTGGAGGTGGTGGGGTCTGCGACGAGGTATTGCCAGGTGCTGGTTTGGGGCTCGAAGAGGGCGTGGATCGTTGGGGTGGAGGGGGAGGTGCTTGCCAGGGTTGTGTGGGGCATGGCGGGCGGGTGTTGTTCTTTTTGCATGGCTGGGGACTGAGGGAGCTTAGGGCCTGCTGCTGTTGCTTTTGCTGTGGAGGTGGAGGTGAAACGTTTACTGGAGGCTGGTGTACTGAATGGATTGGCTGAGGCGAAGGAAGTGTACGGCAATAGATGCACTCGATTGACGATCGTCCTTCGTGCTGGCTGGTGCAGAATGCGACTGGCGAGTCGAGGTCTAATTGATGGTAGGAACTTCATATTTATGACCGGTAGCTATATTTCCCTGAATGTCTTGACACAATGCATGCAGTATGCGATGGCGTTTAAGTATGCTCGGCGAGGTGGACGGCCTGACGTCAATCGGCGATAGGAGTGTAATCGGCGACCCGCCAACCTCCCCGTCGGGCCCTACCGGCTTCCCCACTTCCCCGAACTTCGAACATTCCGTACGGTTTCTTCAACCTCGCACAGTCAGTTGCCCGAGAGTGTTATCAAGGTTGAAGTCCAGATAACTGACTCCCCGCAGTAACCCCGAGTGGCGAATGGCGATATGCCTCCGCCCGTGTTCTATGACATATTTCTAGGGCAAAGTTCAATTCAACATCGTTCCGTGATTGTATATATTTTTATGAGACTTAAAGAACTGTTAAGTAATATAGTCTCTAATTCAGTTTGAAAAACTGCTCATCCATGTTACTGGAGAAGTGAATTCAAAAGAGAACACAAACCATCGTCTATTAATGAGGAAAAAGGGATGACCAGAACCGACCACAAACACCACTGCAAGGAACACCATCTAGTCGCCCTGTGCACCCAAGTCTATCACTGCCATTCGGTAAATGCTACTCATGGAAAGCTGTCATGGTATGAGGCTTGTTTTCATAGGAGAGTACGTACGATTTGGAGGTCGCTTGATTCATGTTTCTCGGGGTCAGTCTCGCTTGCCATCAAGAGTCCAGACAGGTAGGGCACATATTTGGTAATGTACTTGTAGTACTGATATGATCTGAGCAGAGACTTCGCGCGCATACAGCCAGGGAATCAAACCTACGTGCTACTATACTCTAGGACAATCAACTTTGGAAGACGGTCCACGGTGTATGGGGACTTTGCCAATTCGGGCAACATTCGAGCGCGTTTATGCCCAAACGGGCTAAGTGCCATCTGCATGTTGAAGCCATGCATCAAAAGCCCCACCCTTAGATCTCAGCATGTCATACATCTCGAAGCTCGAAGACTTGATCTGACTTTTAATTTAGTACATCCGGGCGATAGTCTCGCCATTGGGATTTGTTTCACGCAGGTTGCAGCCCCACTGAAGTAATTGAGTGGCCGGCAACTTCCCAGATCGGGTATGAATCGAGCGCACCTACTGATAGCCTAGTATAGTTTGTTAGGCTATGATTTAGGAGGCGAGTGCATTGTAGCATGTGCCATCGGATCTTGGCGGTTCCATGCCTGGCTCGCTATCCCAGAACAAGTATCTATTGAGCGCACCTACCTGTATTTGCCGAGGGCTTCACGCCCTCGCAAGCAATGTCCTAAGTATCCTATGGAAGTATAAAGCAGACGACTGTCCCCGTCCCAAGTCTTCCTAGATGACTACCATTTCCATTTCTCTTCTCACAAGTCTCTTACCTTGACTATCACTTCAACAATCAAACATCATGCAATTCTTCAAACTCCTGGTGATACTTGCCGCTGGCGCGTGGCCCGTCAGCGCTGCCAGCTGCCATCCATTTCCCTCCTCGGTGATTGAGTTCTCAGCTGGATTCCAACAGCCCAACCCGCCCCGGATCCAGGCAGAGTACCAGACCAACTTCCTTCAACACAAGTGGTAAGCGACAAACACAGAAACATAGGTGCCAGCCCACGGTCTATCCCCCAATCCCACTGACTAAGCAACAGGAACCAAAACCTGTCACACATCACGACAGGTTGTCTATCATCGGGAGGATGTGCTGTGGTGCACGTTTCTCCATGGGCTTTTTGAGGTACGATGCTGTTGTGGTGCGCGGACAGAACTTGGCATGAAGTTACTAAACCAGTGCAACCGCAGCTGATGGCCGAGAGTCCCGGCGACTCCTTCGTAAAGCACCTGGTGTTCGGTACGTCTCGAGTCCTTTCGCTGCTGGCGCTGGAGCCCAGACGCCCGCTCTCGCTCTCCAGGCCCACGAAGAGCTTGATTGACGCCTTCGCAATCCTGGAGAGCCACCGAGCCATCCTCTACGGCGACAATGCCGCCCTTGATCCAGCCGGAGACCAGCCGTTCCTGCCGCAGCCAGACCCCAGCGGGAGGGAGATCCTCGGGCTCATGGTACAGACTTCGAACTTTGCGAAACGGCAAGTTCACCCTGACTCGAAATTTTGTTTCATGGAAGCAGCTGCTAACGCTCTAACTCTCATGCTCATTAGACTGTTCGACGAGATCGAGGCATTGACCCAGCCCTGCGATCCTCAGATCCGAGATTAGACGCCCTCGCCCGCGCCGGGCTCGAGATCAGAGACGAACTTGTTCATCGTTGCGGATAGGATCGAGGTGGGTTTACAAGAGGTTTGGGCGTATGAGTAGGGGACAACTACATAATATTAATATATAAACTCGTAGAAATACTAAACTTTGTAGAAAACATCACTCGATAATAATTCTTAGATTTTATTTAGTTGAAGGTTAAGCCGTCTACAGAATTATGGATAAAAAATAGCTTAAAAAGCTATAAACAAAAATAGGCATGAAGAAGAATCGAAGCAGATTATAGCTTTTATATGAAAGAATCAAAGATTGGTAGTAAGAACAGTAAAGTTGATAGAGCCACATCCTACCGCCCAATAACCATCCATCCCTGAAAACAATCACCGAATCCCCCCCCCCTGCGGCCCCACCCACAACCCCGACCAGGAGATAAATTTTCTTGCACCGTTGCACGGGTTGCACCCCACAAGATCCGATGCGATCATCCCATGTGGCACGCCGTCCAGAAAAGAAAAGTTATTTTTGGGAATAAGGTTACCCCTAAATCCCCCAACATGGCAGGTGCACGGCTAAACGTTCAGGAGTGCGGTTCAGCAGAATGTATACTTCGGAGAACATCCAGACGGGCCAAAACCTGGAAGCAGAACTGCCCGGGACAGTTACATTCTGTGTCTCTGAAGGTAGAGAGAGGTGTTGGCATTTGTGCTACCGGTCAGATGAATTGGGCAAGACTGCTCCGGCCAGGTTCCGGTTTCTCCCGATGGTGGGTTCTGCTTTCGGTCAGCCCGGGGATTTCCCGTTTGTCAAGGTAACCCGTAGCGACAGCGGCTTTGTTGGTACTGTTACTTGAGAAAATCGAGAATTGGAGAAGAATCTTGGGCCAAGGCAATGATACAGTGAAAAAGTTGAATTTAATCAAACCTGACTCCAAGCCAAACTTGACCGCTATGCTCCAAATCGCCTAACTAGCATACACAATAAATGATCCCATAAAAAAAAGCAACAACCAGGATATCAATCATGAGCGCAAGCCGTAATCAGACCGTCAAGACATACCTAACGCTGAGGAATCGCACTCGCTATGCAAATGGAGATAATAATAACACGTCAATAAAACTGTCCACACTTTTGGCGCTCTCGCAAAATCATCAAGTCAAATCATCATCCGAAAGATGCGCCATGCGAACATTCAACAGGGTATAAAACTGATCATGACAAAGAGTCGAGAGTTCCACACAACCTTGAAATCAGAAAAATTACTTCTTGAACATGTAGTGTCCGTAGATGCCACCGACTTCTCCGACGGCGACAGGGATCTTCCTCATGCCCCACCATCTGGCACCCATCTTCCAGTCGCGCGAACCGTCGTCCAGAGCGTAGTTCGGCATAGAGGCAGGGTCGCGTACATACCAGCCACGACGGCCCAGCTCACGGACAGTCCAGCCGGGCGACGTTTTGGCATTTCGAGCTCTTTCCCGCAGAGGAGCAATTAGCTTGTCACTGAATTCGATGACCTGCAGAGGATAGGTCTGCTGCGAGAGAATGACACAAGCATTCGGGTTGAACACGGTTCCGATCGTCAACTGGGGAGCCTTGTTGAGATCCAGGTAACGAAGGGTATGCGGGACCCATTCCTCAACAACAACAAGAGGTGGTGGCACGGATTCAAGGGGGGTGGGCGGAAGGCTGTCGATGGGAGTGGCAGGCGCACTCTCAACACCAGTGGCAGGCCGAGGTGGAACGAAAAACTGGTTCAGATCCTGACCCGACAGCTCACAGGAGCTCAGCCCCAACTCCTCCAAGTGCTTAGTCAGAGGGATCAGAGCTTTGGTGTGAGCGGAGGTGACCTTCGCACCGCCCAAATTGAGGGAGCAGAGGGAGGAAGGCAAGTGTGGGAGAAGCGCCGAAACGTCTTCCTCCTCCAAGAGACGGGAGCGCGTAGGATCGGTCAAAAGGTTCAAGAACACCAGCGAGCCACAGACAGCAGGATGAGTGGTTAGGAACTCCACCACCTTGGGACCACGCAGGCGACTGCACCGGGACAGGCTGAGGTGGGTGATCTGGGCGGTCTTAGGGATCGAGAAAAGCGCATCCTCGCTGACCTGAGTGTGAGTGAGATCCAAGTGGGTCAAGTTGACCAAGCGAGGGAGGAGAATCTCAAACGCCACCGACGGTAAGCTGCTGCATTCGTGCAACGAAACCCGTCTCAAGTTAGGCAATGCAGCCGGGAGACCAGGACCCGAGGTCAACGCCTCGAGGAAGAGACCGGAGAAAGACTGGGTAGAGCAGCCGCAGAAATCAACAGCGGACAGGTTGGGAAGGCCCGTAAACAGCTTTCGGATAACTTCCATGCTGAGATCACCCTCCACGTGCTCCTGAAGCAAGCATTCGCGCAGGTTGGGCAACAATTCCAAGCACTGTAGCAGGGTCTTGGAGGTAAGGTTCTGGATCTCCGAGTTCATCTGCTTGGTCCGTCCCAAGCCCACCGAAGTAAAGTGAGAGAAGTCGAGACGACGCACCAAAGTGCCCAATGCCGGATAGAGGGAGATGTGGTTCAATGCCTTGGAGAAGATGATGGAGTGGGGGAAAGTCATGTTCCTGTACAACACACTAAGCGTAGCCGCATGCAAAGTCTTGGAGGTCAGAAGGCATGAGATCAGATCCACATTGCGGGGAGTATATCCGTTGGGGGGTACATCAAGCGCCAAGAGGGAGATGATTTGGTCTGTCGTCCTTGTTAGCACGTTCACAGATAAAGACGAGAGCGAGTCTCTTACCAAGCACCTCCGGTGGGACCTTCTCCAAGCGCGAGGTTCCCGGGACCGGCTTAGGTTGCTCTTCCTCCACGACAACCTGCTTCTCTTCCGGAACCTGCAGGGTCTGACTCGGGGGTTCGGCCACGGGGGAGGTCGACTCCCAGGCCCAACGGGAGTGCAGTTGGTTCAGCCCTCGAAGATCGCTGTAGCTGCGACTCAAGCTCTTGCCTCCCAACCGGATCTGCTTCCATCCCAGAAAGCCACCACAGGGGCAGCAGAAGTCGGGAGTCGGCTGCATCTCTAAGGGGTTAGGCTTAGCGGTCTCCTGAGGGGAGTGTTCAATGTGGGTATCGACGAACGATTGGGCAATGCCTATGATGAATTAGTCGAGGTTCAACTGCCTCACGCGACCCGGGCCGACCTACCGTCGACGTCTTCTTTGATAGAGCCAAAGGACTCCCGGCGACGGCTGCTAGACCGTGAATGTTCGGCCGACGACGAGCACGAGGGAGAATGAGGAGAAGTGCTGCGCGATCCGTTGGAAGGCGAAGCGTTTCCGGAGGAAGAAGTGTATCTCACGAAGGTCTGCTTCGGAATCGCGATCGCGGTTGGGATGGTGGCGGAAGACATGATGGGCGGTATTACTGTGGACGGGGAAAGGCTCTATATGGAAGTAGGGCCAGTCCCAAGCGAATGAGGACGCCGCAGATGAGTGAATAAAGGAAGAAGAGGGGTAAGAGTGTTCTGTGTGGTGTGGTGTGGTGGTGTGCCGGTTGTGTGAGTTGAGCAAATGAGTAGAAATGGTGAGGCGGCGGGATGGAAAGGGAAGACGGAGGAAAGAGAAGAGAAGGGAACAGAGGAAAGGAAAAGCTTTTTTTCCTTTTTCTAATTTCCCTTGGCCTTTTCTCTCACTTTCCCCGGATTCCAACAAAACCCCCCTGGACAGCAGACTGCACTAAGAGGGGCGAGCGGAGACGCAATCAACAGTGTTGGAGGTGGTTTGAAGTCGACGGACGGAGTAAACGGAAAACTGTTAGTCACAGATTGCAGTAGACTGGGATCATGCACTCGAGTGGAGAGCTGCTGATGAAATCGCCGATCCCCTCTGACGACAGCACAGCGCGGAAATAGAGTATCAACGAATGTACAGTTTGTTCTTCACAAGCAACAAATAGAGGAATTTGCTTCGGTTGAGCAGAGGTCAAGAGTGTTGGTGTGGGACGGTGGTGGATTGGAGAAAGATGGCAAGTAATCGATTCGTAGAATAGAAGGAAAGAAGGAAGGAAAGGGAAAAAAAAAGTAATGAGGCGGCAAGACACCGACGTCAAGTTTCTATTAAGTAAGGCAAATTGTAAAGGGCCCGAAGAAAATCCATCCAAAGAAGGAAAGAAAAAAAGAACAAAAAAGAAAAAAGAAAAAAAAGGTTCTGGCGCAGAATGACAAGCAGTGGTGAGTGGAGCCGGAAAGAAGCAAATCAGCGTGGATCGGACAGCGGAGGGCTTTTAAGGTTCCATCCATCCAAGAGGAACAAAGAACGGTCGCCCAGATGATGTTCACAAAGTACCGAGTACCAACTACTCAAATACACGAGCATTAAGTGCGACAAGTATTGAGTATGTCTCTGTTCATGTACCATACCCACTTTGGAAGAGGAGATCAAAAGGTACCATCCACTGGTCCACCAGGACCACCATCATTATGAATCAGATGTGCAACCTCACTGCATCATCCTGCATCTCCCAGGCTTACGGATCTTCTTCCCGGTTTTCTCTCTCGCCTCGTTCATTCGCCGACATCCGTAGGGACGTGGATCGATCGCGACTAGGGGGGCGGTTTATCTTTATTGGATTTTAGTCGGTTGTCACTAATCCTTCGTTTCCTCACTAGAGCTGACTCAGCTACTTGCCGCTTCCGGGAGGAGGAGGGGAAAGGATGATCAGGTTATCAAGTTCATGGACTGTACACCGTGTACAGTACCTCAGAATACGCGAACGCGATCCTGGCCATTGATGGACATCGCAATGCGCAGGTGATCGTATCGCATCAATTTCCATTAGGATATGGAATGCAGTGATTTGATGACTTGTCATGGCGCCATTCACCGGGGTTTGGCTGCATTCTATGACATAATGAAAAACCGCCTTCCTGCAGCCCCGTGACCCGGCCCAAACGGGCGGTCCGGCACTCCTCCGCCGACCGACCGACCGACTAATTCAACTAGTGGCACGGTCTAGCTGGGCTTATTATTTAGTTAGTCCTACATAGTAGTCAACTATTATGACTAGTGGTCTAGACACTCCCGGTAGCAACGCGGGGAATAAACATCATGTTTGATCATGTTTCACATCGCAGGGAAACTCAACTTGATTCGAGTCTGGCCATGTTGGAACTAGGGAATTGGGTTTGTCTTACCCCAGAATCCCCCCTCAACCCCTCTCGCAAATGAGGTATTCCTTACCTAACGAGAACCTTGGGGGCGGAGGTCTCGTGATCACGCCGAGAGCACCCCTCTCAATATCTCCCCTCCTCGGCTCCCAACTCAATGAACAATGAATTCTGGCACTTCACACTAAGGTCCCGAATCAGCTCACATCCCTGCATTCTTGGAGAGGGTTTCAGAGGAACCGCTACCGACTCAGGCTTAGTCTCGATCAAACGAAGCTGAACTCAATGCTTCTATGCATCCCAGATGCTTGGCTCCAGCTCGTTCCCTAATACCCTGGAGGTGTCTACTCCGACTGCTGCACGGGTTCGGAATCGCATCCGCACTCCATGCTAACCGAAGAGTGTTCTCAATTTTGAGCCTGAAGGATGATCAATTAGCCAAGCCGACCTACACAGCCTTACAGCATCTGGTTCACTCTTCGACTGCACTATTCCACTCCGTTCTGAAGTAGTTCCGCCTTCGACTCCCCTGACCAACCACCCTGTTTCTTGGCCCAGTCTTGGCTCGTCCCTTACAGTTGCACCTGGGCATAACCCTTTCTACCGGTACGGGACTCAAACGTTGATTCACTCACGGCTTCTTTCGTTATTCTTCCATCGAGATTAGTCTGTCGTCATAGACGGATGCCTAGAATTGCGATTGGAAGCGAGGGATTACTACGGCCTCTCCAACATCACGACAGTCGCAGCTCGAGTCATCCTTTCCAGAACGTTACCAATTGGGGATCATACATAGCAATGAATGGATGAGGCAGTGGAATGGCCGTGGACGCTGCATTGTATTTCCCCTTTGGAAACATTGCCAAGAACGAACCCCCCTTCGGCTACGGGAGCCGCCCAGACGCGCCCCCACTGAGCTATTGGGGCAGTCACGGGTCCGTCCATCATAGGGGGGCGACGATCTGCGACAATGGAACCTCCACCGTCGACTACTGGTAGGTACCTCAATATGGTCCCATTCTCGTGGGTCACTGCCCTCTCACCATCCTCGGTTCGGAGAAGCAGATTCGCTTCGTCCCCGATCGTCTGTGACACGCCTCACTTGAGTCACCCCAACATGGCACCACCATTTTAGGCGATTAGGCGAGGTTGTCTTCCAGACATCCAACACAGACTCGTCATACCTGCGCAAGTGGTACAATCCTACGGATCTTTCACGCCATCGAGCGTCGGCCGCAGTACAAACACCCAGCTCGGCATTTTTCGGGCCCTAGCGATGCACCTCGCCCATTGAATGGTCACCTTTTTCTTAAGTCACAAATGACGTGGATCAAGGGCAGAATTGCACTAGAAGCGAAAGCGAAACTGATATGGGATTATAGATTTCTAAAAATACATCAGGACATGCCACAAGTCAGCCTCACTCAATACCAGCAAGCCGCTCGAATCAATGCATGAAGCCAGCTCTATCCCTTCTGTCACGACTGCCGAGCACATCACAGCACGCAAACACATCCAGAATCCGCCCTCCGAAAGAGTTATACTCGTCCCAGCAAACCAACTGGTGTGGTAGCCTTCGCAGCAAAGGCAATGCAGCCGCCCACCAAAGACAGAACGCCGCTGAAAATGGACGCCTGCAGGAACCCTCCGTAACGATCGAACAGTGCTCCAATCACGGGGGGCCCAATCAAGGCGGCGACGGAGCTGGTAGCGATGCCCATCCCCATATACGTCCCGCTTTCCCGGGCGTCCGTCATGCAGAGTGTGAATGCCGCGCTCGCTCCCGAGACGATGGTACCCGATGCGAACCCGATAAACACCGCGTATACCACCAACCCAGCCGTGGATTCCGCCTTGGTCATACAGAGGCCGATCACACCCGTGGCGATCCCTCCCAGGGCGAACATGTTCAATCGCCCGTATTTATCAGCGAGAAACCCGGGGATGATGCGTCCGAACGTGGACGCGGCGTTGAGAATCGCCAGTAAGTACGAGGCCAGCGTGGCGTCCATGCCCCGGGTCACTGCATAGGTGGGGAGATAGAACAGCGGGGTGAACAGCCCAATGAACATGAAGAAGAAGGCAGCGATGATGAGATCGAACCGGGCTTGCTTGAAGGCATCCGGGATGAAGAACGAGGTCGTGCGCGGGGGCAGGCGAGGCTTGACCACTGTACACGCGAACGCCATCAGGGGGATGACCACGAAACCCATCACTCGCACCGACCAACCAAATCCGAGCGACGAGCTGTTCAGCATCTTGGACAGCGCAATCGGGAAGACCACGCCCCCGATCGATGAGCCGGACACGATCAGCCCGAGGGCCGCGGCTTTCTTCTTGTCAAAGTACTGTGACACGGCGGCGAGAGCCGGCAGCTGGAGGAAGGCCATTGCTGTGCCGAGAAGGACGCCCTGCGCCAGCATGAACTGCCAGTATTCCGAGCAGAGACTGGTCATCATCATGGCGAAGATGTAGACGACTGCCGCCGGACGGATGACCTATGTTTCTAGTGAGTTGATGGGCACTTTTAGTGGCCGTTGGAGAGCACTCACCCATGTGCCATAGCGATCGAACAATGGACCCCCAATTCCACCGGCTGCGAACTGGAGGAATGTGCAGAGCGACCCGATCCAGGAGATCTTGCTGGACGAATCAACGCGTAGCTGATTGGCCTCGTAGTATTCTTGGAACACGCCAAACGAGTTTGCAAACCCCAGACAGGAGAATATGATGCACGCGCCTCCGGCCGCAACGAGCCAGGCCTGGCGTCCGCCGTCGGGGGCTGCCTCGTGCTCTGCAGGTGTGGGCGCGGCTTTCTCCACATCCGACATCGAAGCTGCAGCGGATTCGGTGCGACCCATGATGCGAACTATGGCTGCACAATTGTGTCAAGTGATTAAAGGCTGATCTTGGGCCTTGTAGTATGACGCATCAGGTAAGACAATATCATGGCTCTCACTACTTTATATATGACTTGGACAGTAGAAATTTGCTTCCAGTTTGCGCGGAGATACTCATAGGGCTGACGGGCCGGACTCGGTTGTCGGTCGGAGAATGGGTGTCCACTTGGACCAACAGCGCAAGAGCAACACTATGGCATATATTGCTTGTCGTCGGTCTTTACAGCAGCTACCCAGCTTAGAGCTGAATTGGGTGATTGACAAGAGGCTATATGGGATCAAAGTAGGTAGTTTTATCAAGCATACAATTGCAACATTGTCTAGTTTATCTCTTTCTTATGAGTGCAATGAATTGTGTAGTTACCTGTAGGTTCCCATTCATGCCACTGAATGAATAATTGAAAATATGACAGGACTAAAGTAGACAGGAGTCTTCATAAAGCTGTCATCAAAATTTACGAAAGAGAGCATCAGCGCTCTGCAAGTTACCAACCTGTTCGGGCCGCACATCATCGTCCTTGCCATACGCGATCACATGACCCGCTATCTCCGCCGACGGCGATCGGGGAATTTGGCTGTCTCCGAACGCCAATCCCCGCTGCACGACTCTGACAGCTCCGTGCACCGCTGTGACCACCACCTTCATTGTTTTCTTGAACATCTGTCATTCCACTTGTCCCTCAGCAGCTCTCCCTTCCTATCTAGATCTTCCGAATGATCAGCATGATAGGACCCGCCCGTCGACGTCGGAGACCAGCGGTGTAGGCTTCCCTCGGAGAAATCCCCTCGTCTCCTTAACCCCGCGCTGACAGCCCAAACACATCAGCTCGTGCTCTTTATGCAGACGCCGCAAGATCAAATGTGATCGTCAAGCGCCATGTAGCCACTGTACTCGCTCCGGGAATCAGGCTACCTGCGAGTATGATAATTCCGACGTTTCTCGGCCTGCGCAACCGGCGTTTGGTGTCACACCCACCAGACCAGCCCCGTATGCGATACCCATTGAGGGTGCATCGCATACCAGTCGCACAGCCCCATATACAATCCCCACTGATGGGACGTCGCATACCAGCCGCACGGCATCCTCCATGCCCAGTCCCCACTCCGCTGCACATACCACCGCCTCAACCAAAGCCTCGACTGTCGCCAGTCCCCAGTCGGACCCGAATGTGGAGGCCCTCAAGGACAGGATCCGACAGCTGGAACAGCGACTGGCTGAGACCGTTACCAAGCCTGCGATTCAGCCGCCTCCAGTGGCCCCCATCCCGGAGATTGTAACCGCAGGCTCCACATTGACTGGTCTGTTTCATTTGCAGCATGAGAACGATCATGCTCGCTCGGCCGTAGCGATCACTCGTAGTATCATGCACAAGTCGCGCCTCTTCGGCCAGAGCTTCTGGATCAACGGCATGGCGACGGAGGTAAGCGACCGCCTTCATTTTATCTAGACCTCTGCCTAATGCTATTCTAGTTCTGGAGCCTCTTCCAAATCCTGGAAACCCATGCGCGAGACCAAGGTAGTCAGGCGTTCACCAAAATCCAGAAATGTAAAGCTATCGGCAAGATCATCAAGGATAGACGCACACCCTCCTGGCCTGTAATGACCGCCACTCCACTGCCCCGGAGAGAAGTTGCCGACCAGCTGGTGGACTGCTACCTGCGCACCAGCGAAGCCATTCACCGCATCCTGCACATTCCTACCTTCCGTCGCGACTACAATACTCTCTGGGCAGCCCAAAGCACGCCGGACCCTGCGTTTGTGATCCAGCTCAAACTGGTCCTTGCCATCGGAGCGGCCACCTACGACGAACATTTCACGCTCCGTCCGTCGGCGATGGCCTGGGTCTACGAGGCGCTCACCTGGCTCGCGAAGCCAGAGTACAAAGCCCACCTCAGCATGCAGTTCCTCCAGCTCAACCTTCTCGTTCTTCTAGCGCGCGAAGCCACAGGCATCGGCGGCACCCTCACCTGGATCCCCGCGGGCTCACTCCTGCGCATGGCGATGCACATCGGTTTGCACCGCGACCCGAACCACCTCCCCAAACGCACCCTCTTCGCCTCCGAGATGCGCCGCCGGCTCTGGAACACCGTCCTCGAACTCTCCGTCGCGTCGAGCATGCTCTCCGGCGGACCGCCGCTCCTCTCCCTGGAGGACTTCGACACCCTGCCTCCCAGCAACTACGACGACGACCAACTCACCAACACCGCCACCACAGCCAGCAACGACACCGACACTGACAACCCCCCACCTCCACCACAACCCGACAACATATTCACCCAGACCTCCATCGCCATCACGTACCGCAAGACCTTCCCCGCGCGCCTAGCCATCACGCAAGCCCTCAACAACACCAACACGAAGCTCACCTACGAGGACACCCTCCGACTCGACGCGGACCTCCGCACGGCGTACCAAGAAACGTGCCATGCCCTTCACGCCCTCACCGCCGACAACCCCCCGACCCGCACCCCCTCCCCATTCACCCTGCACCTCCTCGACTTCCAAATCAACCACCACTTCATCGCCCTCCACATCCCCTACTTCATCCCGGCCCTCCACGACCCAATAGCCTACGCCTACACCCGCAAAGTCCTGACCGAAACCGCCCTCCGCATCTGGTGCACCGCCTGGCCCTCATCAGCCATTATCCACCCCGTCACCGCCACCACGCCTTCCCCGTCCCCCTCTCGCACCCATCCTCCCAACCACCCAACATCCACCCCAAACCCCGAATCCGAACTCCTATCAAGATACATAACCAACACCGCCAGCCCATACACGCAGACCACAACGCAAGCATACAACCTCGCCGCCTTCGAGCTTTGCGCCCAGCTGCGCGAGGCCTGCTCCGCTGCCCCTGCGTCATTCGCCGCCGTCGAGCCATTTCCGCATGGCTATTCCCCCCAACCCATCCGCCAAGACCTCCTGACCATCACCCGCGAGGGCAAGCCCTGGCTCCGCCGGTGTCTGCGCAGCGGCGAGACCAACATGAAGGGATACCTGCTGCAGGCGCTGGTCGAGGCGCAGGTCGAGGCGGTGCTGCGGCGCGTGCCAGACGCGGACCTGGGGGGGTGGTTGGTGCACGCGGCGGAGAAGGCGGTTGAGGAGGCGTTGGGGATTTTGGGGGAGGTTCTAGGGGAGGATTCCCATTCATTTGAAAGGGATGGCGGTGGTGTTGTTGGGGAGAATACGCGGGGGGAGGATACAAGGCATCTGGTTGTTGGGGAATCTGAGGCTGGGAGAGTTGGGGTGGGGGAGACGGCGGGGTCGATGGAGGATTGGGATTTGGATCTTTTGGTGAGTTTTCGCTCTACCCTGTACCCTTGTGTTTCTTTTGAGGGGGGGTGGTAAGGCTTCTGGTTACTGATTCGTTGGTTGCTAGACGTCTGATGCTATGTTCGGGTTGGATTTGGAGGGGTTGGGCGGGTGGATGGCCGATGAGGGGGTTGCGCAGGGGTCGTTTTTGTGGTAGTCTTTTTCTTGATTCCTAGGCACGAGGTGGTGTTTGGGTTAAGGTCTTGATGATTTGTTATATATAGTGAAGAGTCTCTACTCAGTGTACGGTGTATATCTCTCTACTGTTAGGCAGTGGCAGATTAACGTAGGCATTGTCCTACTTCAGCGATGTCAAGGCTCGCCACGATCCCGCGATATATGAGGATTACGAGAGCTCTATCCACAATTCTTCGCCGGCTTCCAATTTGACGCCCAGCTGCACTATCAGTCTAGTCCCTCTGGGCAAGAACAAATAAAAATATGGTTGACCAGAGAGAGAGAAAGCAACGAGCCCTGTCGATTGGGGGAACAGTCTTGTTGGTGGCTTCACGACAGATAGCGGAAATCCCACTGGCCGGGAAGCACCAAGGCACGCCATCCTGGATCAAGCCTCGACGTTCTTTAATCTCCATCATTTTCCATCGTCTGCCTCAGTCCGAGCAATAAACTGGGATGGAATTAGTGATGGGTGTCGGGACCAAAATGCGCAGTCCCAGGCGTTTATGCCCCGCAGGGCGCGCCCGAAGCGCAACGTTAAATAAACATGGACGCCGGCAGGCAGCCAGGTCAGCGCGCGCTGCCAGAGACAACGGGGATGCGGGAAACTTACGGGCGTCCCTCCCCTCCCAGTGGGACCGCGCTTGTGCATGTGGCCCATTCCATCACACCGTAGGGATTTTATAAATCTTTCTTTCATGAGACTAGCAGAAAAAGCAAGCCAACTGTGCAGAGAGCAATGAGATCGCAGCCCCGGAAATGGGGTTCTATGGGGGAGCAACCGACGTGTAATCCAGCTCTGGCCCAACATGTCCTGCTATTCTCTGCGGTACTCGAGGTCTGAATAGCTAATTTCAGGTTACCCCCCCCCCTGCATGGGCTTGACGCGATATATGCTTGTAAGTGCCATACCTCCCACCAACACCCCATCTCATCCCCCAAGTATCAAAGTGGTGGTCTTCTCCCGGCTTTTTAAGCGAGGGGAAGTGACGCGCCGAGGGAGGGCCTTCGGCACGATCGAAAGCAGAGGTGTGTTTTGCTGACATGAACAGCCAAATTCTCCATCCTTGTTTGGCAGCACAGGAATCACGGCCGGAAGTACGATATCGGGTACTTTGTCTGACAGACAGCCTTGCCATCGGTCGGCAAACCGCTGCAGTGGCCCTTTGAGCCCCTGATAATTCTTGTACAGCAGACCGCAGGAGTTGTGATATATGTGTGTACAAAGCTCTAAGTTTGATGTCTGGATTGGGAAGCCCGCCGATGTTCTGAGTTTTTAATGCGGGACACCTCTTTTATGTCCTTCTCGGCCGACCAGCCCGCTGGTGAGGAGAACGACTACGGCACATAGCGTCTCTTCTGTTGTAAGCGAGTTTCTCGCGGCAGAAAGCCCCACCGATGAGGGACCTCAATGGCTTCCAAACTTCACGGATGGAGTGAGCCCCTACCGGAATCCGGTATTTTCTTCCCTTCACCCTGTAAGCCCTTTGAGCTTAGTATCGGTAGCCATAAAGAGCGCATATTGGCTCATGGTGCTGAATAACAGTCCTTGCTACTATGTTAAGCTTTCTGACTGTGGCGGCTAGGGCAACACAACCTTCTGCGGTGATAATGCGGGTAGGTCTTGACGAGTATAGTGAGGACGATGAATATGAGGACGTGCACGTGGACAATGATCGCGACTGTATGATGATGGTGATGACGACGCTGAAGATGAGACATCGAAAGGAAGACCGAGAATTTCGAGCTCCATTTGCATCAATGCTTTGAAGAGTTCGATAAGGGTCTAGCTCTATTCTGCATTGAACATCCCGCCAGTGTCCTCTAAAACAGCAAGAGCCCGACAGGGTGGGATCCAAGTGCTGCATGACATTCAACGGGAGACCTAGAACAAAGTCCCGAAAAGACTTGGTCTGCCAAGAGGAAACCTATTTATCGAGCTCTCAGAACAAGATCTACTAAATCCGAGGTACAGGGAAAGATCATTATCCTCAGTGAACTCGGGATGTGTTTTGCTAACTGTGATACCATTTGATTGTTATCGCAACGAGAAACGTCACCAGCTGGTTGAATCCGTAATTCAACTGAAAGATACCTGAAAACAGAATGGAGGAAATGGACAGTGTCGTCGTCCTTATTAAATGCTCGATAAATCTGAAGCCGGGCGCTAATATGAAGCTGGATAGTAGCTTAGGCGTTGGGTTCTTCAAGTTTTTGGTCCATAACTGGAGGGCTTAGACTGCTTGAAGATTGTGAGGTGGATTCCACAATGAAGGCCCTAGGTAGAGATAGGCCGGTAGTGTCTATCGATCAGATTAGCCACGATAATCAGAAAGCAACTTTATGCCTTTTATCGTACTTTACTCTGCTTCTCGGCATCACATTTTGCCTTTCTGCACGGTGTACCGTGGCCATCCTGAGGCAATTGAATCCCAACGTGCCACTATTAGGGGTCTTTGAGCCCAAGCAGCTTGGTCACATTCCGCCTGCTTAGTCTTGTTGTTTTTTATTTTCTCAGATGCAGGCGTCACTGGGTCTTTGTCACCGAGCTTCCACGTTCCGGTATAGGTCTTCTTCTTGTCGGCTAAAGCACATTGCTTTTGCAGCGCCGGCAGCGCATTGTCGAGGAACGCAACGGTTTTGGGAATAAAGGAACACTCTGGCATGACGGCGTCTGGAGGGTAGATCGATCACGGAATATGATGGTTGATCTCGATTCGATTTCGACAGGGTTGCATATCAAGTGGACCGGTCCATCGTGGCTCGATTTGCTTCCCTTTGTGCTTCTCCAATTGGAATTCCCTTACTAGGATCAGATCTCCTCCTTCAAGCTCTCCCGATAGGCGGGGAATTCTCTCTTTCATGTCGGTCATTGTCGTTGTGCCAGTCTCGGATAAGAAAAAGCTGACTTTATTGAGTTTGCAAACAGAAGCACCTATATGCAGTTTCACATTGATGTAGGGCCCAAGAATGGCCTAGGGGTATGAGTTCTGATTCGACGTGTCTGTGACAGCTTTTTGTAGTGGCTTGATGCAGGCCAGGATAAACATCCCACACTGCGCGCGGGTAGTACCGACATTCAGGCGCGGGAAGTCTAAGACAGAGCCCGGGAGGCTGGTGATTACCAGCCCGAAAATGATCACCGGCCGCTTCCATCCCTGAAATGCATCAGCTGTGCTGAATGTGACCCTCTTCAGCTTGAGCTAGGGTTGCCTGGCCTGAGCTGGAGCGCAGCATTGGACTTTGTGATAGTGACCCCAAAACATGATGCTCCTTTGACCATGCCGAAGATTTGTACCCGGCAACCCTAAGGACAAAAGGTGGTGTCATAAAGATGAGTTCGCGGGTGAGACAGCTGTCTTGAGCGAGGCTTAATCATTGCAAAGTTCCTGCTTACTTACGCATCCCGGCCATCAGCAGCTAATGTCTATATCTCCGATCAGAACTGTGAGTCCAGACTTCCAAAGGCCACGGTGGAGAATCATGGTGGCCGCAGCAGCCACGGATCCTAAACTCATTTTAGTAGTCGCTCCTTCGAAGGCAAGGAAAGTAGTACAGTAGTACATCGACTATTGTGTCAAGCAACTAGCATAGGCGAGCGTCTGCAATTTATTTCTTTCGTGGCCATGTTGCGGAATGTGGAAGCTTGATTTCCGAATTGTACTGCTCATCATCGGGCTGTAGGGATTCGATTTCCGCTTTCTCTACCTTTCGTCGCTCGGGCCTAGGTGGCGAAGAGGACCAATTGAAAAATGCCTCCTCGTCACTTGCCTCGTCTTCCATTATTGATCTATTGACCTGTGGCTCATTGCCATCTCGCAGCATCCAATCAGGACGCAACAATTTCGCGATTCCGGATCGTGGACGGTATCATAAGCCCCTGATTCTTCTGGTCTGTGGAGAAGAAAGGATCTCGCACCATTTGCTTCGATTGGCTCTTTCCGTGCCGCATAGGGTCGGCTCGGAAGTTCTCGTTCGTCTTGATAGACGGTGGTGCTGGCTGTCTATAAGATGGTTTAGTCTGTCTGGATGGGCAATTTCCATTGCTGGTCGAAGTCTGCTGATTGACGCTTTTTTCGATCTCCGGTCGATAGCTCGCAGATAGCCAGAAGTGCCCAGGCGTCGCTGAGTCTGGTGCCTGGTAGAGGCCAGCGTTGGTTATCTATAGGTGATGGTTGTGGTTTGATAGGTGTCGGTCACATCTCTTGTGGTTTGCTCTCGTCGGGGTCTATGTCGCCTTGGGACCAGATAGCGTAAGATCTGGGTACCTTAAGGGCATGGTTGCAGAATGTAGTACACATTAATCTCTCGCTCGCTTGGTTGATTACCTCGCGGCACTCGGTCAGAATAGCACGGGTCTGGCTAGTAGGTGGCACGCGTGTATCAATCTGAAACCACTTATCGATCTCCTGAAAATGCTTTAGGAGACACGGACGCTGTCGGGCCGCGATACTTTGAAACTTTGGTGTCATTCCAAGCCATGAAGCTGGGTTATTCACTTCCATGGCATCTGACGCATCTGCACCTTTCCCTTGGTCGTGCTGGTAAGTTTTGGCTTTCTTATCGTTCTTAGCTATCTTGCTAAGAGTTCCTGTAGCAGTTCGTGTCCACCTTTGGATCTGCGGATTCCTATCCTCTAGAGTTATTCATTATGGTAGACGCTGGGATATAGGGTTTATAAGGTTAGTTTTAAGAGTCAAGGACTCCGTGAGTCGCTTCGCCGTAGAAAACACCTGTGAAATTTTATTAGATGAGTGAGTACATAGACCCAGATAACTCTGAGCAGTGTCGTTTTTGGAGATCGGAATATGGGAAGAGAAGAAGAGAGAAAAAGACAGAAAAGAAAGAGAGGGGGAGAAAAATAGGGACAGAGCTTGCACGCTTCGATTTTTATTGCACTGCCAATGCTTATGCTCCAAATTCCTAAGTCTGGAAGACTGCGGTCTTTTTCTTGGTGACGGCGACGGCCCCTTGGGCGGTAGCAAGGGCATTGTTCGATGTATACAGGCTTGTTTTTATGGCTCATGTATCGACCCCATACTCCACATCTGCCCTCGTGTGCGGTTCCTGTTCCTGACTTATTATAGAGAGCATGCGTGCCCCGGCGCTTGAGTTGGGCTGTAGCCCCTTGCGTAAGCCCCTGCCTTTCTTCTTTTGCTCGCGTTTCTTTGTTATATAGAGTTAGCCTCTATACATCTCCAGGGTATTCGCAAATACCATCGGAATATGATAACTGATATGATCTGGCCAGACAAGAGTCCATAGGTTGATAAGTTGGTCGCGCGGTGTCCATCCTCTTTCGCTACTATGTGATAGTGCAGCGTACTGTCGTCTCCCTAAATGATAGCCACGAGGTACTGTAGGGTCTAATTCTTAGGGTTCCCCGATTGTCCTACATATGGACGCTAAATAGTCGGTGTTGCGGTCATCTGTGACAAAGTTAAGGTAGCCATTGCCACGTTACCATTCCTCTGACAACGCCCGCTCATTCATGTGACATTGCACTGGACTGTTTAGCATTTGCTCAGACTGTTTTAGGCTGCCTAAAACTGTCTCCAAGACTATGGTGGGCAGTAGTGAATTTGTTCCGCAGTTCAATGCATCCTGGTAGTAGTTGTAGAAGCTTTGAACCACAAAAGTCAAACACCAATCATCGAATCCTTGTTGACATTGGTGAAGGAGTTGACTAGGTATCCATCGGGCAGGTTCGTAGGAGGTAAATGGTCGGTTACCTACAGCCCGTTCAAGAGTAAACCTCTAGAAGCCTCTTAACCGATGTCTCGTAGACGACCTTCCTGAAAATTGGCCAAGAAATTGGAATAACTTGAACAAGCAAGTAATGTTGACACAAGTTGAAAGTCGCCTATCAAATAGATGAACACTCATATATAACCATTGAGGTGGTCGAGGAGCAAATCCTTCTTGACTAGGACTCAGGACATCTCTCTCTTGGATGGAGTATGTTGAGCGGATCTTTAAATCAATGCTCGAATCCCGAGATAGACGATGAATAGATCCCATCAGTAGAGTCTTGGGTAAGACTTGTGTCTGGATACTAGTGTATGTAAGGGAATGAGAAGGGTGGTGGATAAGAAGACTGACGGGGAACTGGAATCCTGGACTTGGACTGTACAAGTCCTGATATTGGGCCACGGTAGCTTGGTTGAAAGGGAGACGGTAGAACAAAGAAGGAAGTAGGAAGAGGATCCTTGACTTTAAAAGAAGAAGAAAGTACTGGTTCAAGACCGGAACCAGCTCAGAGAATACTGTGAATGGGCCTGGTCTGAATGGGAAGGTGAATGGGCCGGGTTGGAGGTCAAAAGCTACAGAGACGTTCTCAGACTGTGGGCGAAGAGTTGGTGCTCAAGGTGACTGTCTGGTTGATCATTTGAAACTACTTGGAATAATGCGTTGCTTATTCACTATATAGTCTCATTGAATGGGGTTATCCATGTGGTAAGCACTTTCTTTAAAGGAATGTCGAATATCAGGTGTTGTGAATCGTGCCCTAGCCTTGCTGAGTACTTCCTAACGTCTGCATTACGAACGCGTCGTAGAAGCAGACAAGAGACCCTATGCTTAGATGGCAACTACAAGCACACTTTGTTCTTTGATCACTCATCAACGCGAGCCATAAGGTCATGCATATATCCGCCTTCTCTTTTTCATCGCATAGGGGAAACGAACTACTTTTACCCCTCCCGTCCTATTGCTCTTCCAAATAACCACGTACTGCTAGCCTGAATGAACAAGCAGGGCAAAGTCAGATTTCTTGTATGTAAATCTATAATTCAGAGCAGCAACTAGCACAAAGTTCATTACTGCGCCAGTAGCAAGCCCTGGTTGTGGCCGTAAAATCACGCGGAGCTGAACATGCAGAAAAAGATATATACGCTTGGTATCACAGATACTATTTACATCGGGTCGACCCAATATTGGTTATTAAACCAGGGCATGCACTTGACCCGCGGCGGTGGCTCCGGCTGCCACTCGATCAGTTCCGGTCCCTTCGTGTACTTCTCCCGTCGAATGATCTGGTGCACATATTTGTAGGTCTCCTTCGCCTCGCGGGCCGTCTTGTACTCGTAGGCGACATTGATGCTGGATACGGCCTGAATCTTGCCCAAGCCCGCTCTCCAGAGATCCTTGGCCAGCGTCATGGGCTCCCCCATGTAGCACTCGCCTGGTTCGGAGCTGCGGAACGTGATGGATTTCTGCACAAACGGCGCCGCGTTGAGGGTCACCATGCCGCCCCAGCATGAGTAGACCTGCACGGGGAGACCTCGCCCATAACGCTCCGCATTGTAGTTGTCATCAAAGAACATATCCTTAGCGATCCAGTACCGTGCGTCGTGGGTAATCTCAAAGAAGAGGTTACCGGACATCGAACGGGACACCCAGGAGTCGTAGAAGGAGCCACCGCCCGCGTTCCAGTCGAATGCGCAGGTCATCTGCGCATCTTGATTCTGATGCTGGTAGATCAGCTCAAGAAGGTCCTCCGTGCACAGGACGATATCGTTGACGAAGACAATCAGCGTATCGGCGGCGTACGGGCTGAACTTGCCCGTGCCGGCAGTGACCAGCGGGGCAATCGCTTGATTGCGCAGAATGGCCAGGTCCTTGATGCGATCCTCGCCCTCCGCCTTGGGGTTCAAGTCGTTTGTTCCCAGAAAGTATCGCACGCCCATCGCAGCGAGCTCGCGTTCCAGAGCGACAAGAATATCGTACGTGCCATCAGTGGATCGACCTTCAACGATGGACAGAGCACAGTACTGAGGCCCAATGAAACGCATAGTATCCAGAATCGCGCCCATCAGGGGCATGAGAATGTGGGCGGCTTGGTACAGGTCGAGGGCGAAGAAGTATTTGACCTTGGGGTTGGCGCTACCCCAGCTCGGTTGCACGCGGAGGCTATCATAACGAAGGCTGATGTTGAGAGGACAATCGAGATGGGCGGTTTGTTTCATGTTGTGCTTCACTATCGAGCACACAAAGTCGTCGACTGCGCTGCCATTGATTGAAGCTTTGGCGTTCAAGGTACCGTGGAGGTCAAGCGATACGGTGGCGGGGTCGAAATCGTCGCAGGCGGAGAGGGCAGGAACAACGGCTTTGACATCGTCGACCACCAGGCCGTCATTGGCCATAGAGGCGCCATTGCGGTTTGCGTAGAGGTAGAGGACGAGGCACAGAGCGGCCATCAGCATGGCCGCTCGAGCAAGGTGCCATTGCACCTGGTGGAGGTTCATCTCAACTGGAAGAATGCATATAGGGTGGGAGGGAAGATTGTTGGGTGGCGAAAATCAAGCCGTGCGAGAAGAGAGAAGGTTCTGCATTATGAAGGAGGGACGGATAAGATAAATAGAGGAGAAGTGGACAAAGGAGGGAAAAACCCCGAAGAAACTGGTCGCTGGGATGATTTCTTCTCCTCATGGCGCGCCGCAGTCAGCCTTAGTGGTGGAACCCTCCGGTGATGGTACGCGTGGGCCTTTTGCCATTCCTGATTTGCGCAGCTGCCTAACTGGCAGGGAAGCCAATCACTGCGACAGGATCAGCGGCACCATTTGATGCCAGCCAAAATGAGGTGATAGGGGCGTCATCATTTAGGGGAACAGGTGGATCAGGCTGAACCGGTAAAGGCAATCCTTGAGATTGAGAGTATCTCCCGAAGAGTGTGGAATTCCAATGATCTCAAACTCTGAAACTGTCAAATGAACTCTCGGGCGGATTGCCGACACGTGATGGTCCGAATAGGACTAGCCGATGCATCATCGGATCTCCCGGCTTGTTTGCAATGCTCAACAACTCCTTGCTTGAATGCTTGTATGCTTGCGTGCTTGCATGCTTTTCACTCAATCCACTGCGTTTCATGTCAAGATTTCTGATCTCTCTACGAGCGGTACAGAATAATCATCTGCTAGACTTGCCAGTTGCCAAGACATCTGTTCCTCAGCTCGCCCCGGTCGTCCTCCGTGCACAGCCCATCCGACCGCTGTTTGTACACATCAAAAGTCTACCAACCAAGGCCAAGCTGGAAATTAGGGGCCGTAATCTGAGACATACGTAAAATCTGTCACCCCCAAAAGACTACCGCATCGGATGTAATATAAGGTGGGGGCCAGGGGCTGGTGCACCATCCTCACCATTCAGGAGCAGGAGGGGCTGCTTCGGTTCCGCAACTGTAGCATTGGATGTCTCCATGCAAGGTACAGGGGTGATGAGAGCTCTCATCTTTGTTGTCAATCGGTCAGCATTACATGTCAAAGCCATCATTGCAAGTCAACCCTGCTATCGACAACAAATTCACAAAATGCGGTTGCTGGCGATCGAATGATCAGCCACTCCACACGATTATAGCCGAGATAATGATGATCACTGCAGTCACCACTAACTATGACCAGGTGGCTGAGAAGCAGATCCCTATGACGAGGACTGAGGCGACGAGGCATTAATTCCCGCCTGAGGCATTCAAGCCACGACATTACCGTAAGAAGCAAGTGGAACATGACCTCGGGCTAAGCCTCGTTGAGCTAACCCCTCGATAAATAAAGAATTAAGGTTGACTGCAGTTGGTGCCTGAACCGCCGTCCGGTCTTTCGCCTCATCGTCATTCTCTGTCTCTTTCCTCCTCCAACTATCCAACCTTTCCCAAATATTGTTGAACTTCCTGCAAAATGACTACCTACACCATTGCTAGCGGAGATACCTTGTGGAAAATCGCTCAAGATCATGGCGTCACTCTAGATGCCCTCAAAGCCGCCAACCCGCAACTCACCAACCCGGATCTCATCTATCCAGGCCAGGAGCTGCAGATCCCTTCGGGTCAAGCCCCTAGAAATGAGCCGCCAGTTCAGGCCGCAGATCCGGCTCCTCGTGAGTTAGGTAGTCCTTCAGCTCCGACCCCAAGCTACAACATAACACGTGCTCCTCCTCCGGTTCCCCCGCAGATGGTTCCGCCACCCGCTCCTGGCGTTCCGCAGGGGCCCGCCTACAAGACAGTTGCATACTTCACCAATTGGGTATGTCTTAGCCGTCATAGAGTGACTCGTCGATATATCAGCTAACCTGTCTGCAGGGTGTCTATGGTCGTAACTACCAACCTCAGGACATTCCAGCCGAGTATATCACACACATCCTATGTATGAAGCTCAAAACGTACCAGGAGCTACACACCCACTAACAAACATCAGATTCCTTCGCAAACATCCGACCCACGGGTGAAGTGTACAACCACCAATACCTGTCTTCCTCTTCTTAGATCTAATACCTTACTCTCCAGATTCCTTACAGACACATACTCCGACCTCGAAAAGCACTACCCGAGCGACAGCTGGGACGAACTCAACACCAACGCCTACGGCTGCATTAAACAGCTCTTCCTCCTCAAGAAGCAGCACCGCCACCTCAAGACCCTCCTATCGATAGGCGGCTGGACCTACAGCGCCAACTTCGCCCAACCGGCCTCCACGCCCGAGGGCCGCCAAACCTTCGCCCGGAGCGCCGTGCACCTCCTCGCCGACTTGGGGTTTGACGGCATCGACATCGACTGGGAATATCCGGCGGATCCGCAGCAAGCCGCCAACTTCGTGCTGTTGCTGCAGGAGACCCGCCGCGAGCTCGACCGCTACGCGGCCCATCTCCGCCTCCCCTCGCGGCCGCTCCTGACCATCGCCGCCCCCTGCGGCCCCACCCACTTCTCCAAGCTCCGCATCCGCGACATGGACCCCTACCTCGACTTCTGGAACCTGATGTGCTACGACTTCGCGGGTAGCTGGGACGCACACGCGGGCCACCAGGCGAATGTCTTCCCCGCGCCACCGGGCCACGAGCGGTTGACCCCGTTCAGTGCGGATCGCGCGGTGCACGCGTACGTCTCGCAGGGGGTGCATCCGAACAAAATCATCTTTGGAATGCCGCTGTACGGGCGCGCATTTGAAAACACGGAGGGTCCCGGGCGGCCATTCCAGGGGGTCGGAGAGGGGTCGTGGGAGAACGGCGTGTGGGATTACAAAGCCCTGCCGCCGGCGGGACATCAGGAGTTTGTGGACAGCAATCTGTTGGCGAGTTGGAGTCATGCGCCCGGGGAGCGGAAGGTGGTCAGTTACGATACGCCGCAGGTGGCGGCGATGAAGGTCGAGTACATCAAGCGGAGGGGGTTGGGGGGCGCCATGTGGTGGGAGTTGAGCGGGGATCATCCCGTCGGACATGAGCGGAGCTTGATTCGGACGACGGTGAACGAGTTTATGCGGTCGGGGGATCTGGATCGGAGCCCGAATACGCTGCATTATCCGTTGAGTCGGTTTGAGAATTTGAAGCGGGGGTTTGAGTAGTCGTTCGGTGCAGGTGAGATATCGATCAATGTGAACGGCGTGTCTCGTGCGGCAAATATGTGTACATTGAATAAGGAAACCTCACAAGCTTTGCAGCATGTTCCGCAGTACATCCAAGAGAGCCCAAACCAGCAGACATACAATGATAGTACACATAGACAACATTTTCACATCGCGCCTCACATCAAACAAACCCCTCTACTCCCCACCCCCTCCCCATTCCTCCTAACAAGAAAAACCGCCTCCCCGCCATACCCGCGCACCTTCCCCGCCAACTCCTCCCCCACCTCCGCAACCCCAAACCCAAACCGTCCCCAAAACTCTTCCGTCCCGTACACCGACACCAACCCCGTACTCTCATACCGCCCCGCTACCTCCAGCAGCCGACGCACCCCCTCCGCCGCAAGCCCCCGTCCGCGCACCCCCGGGAGGACCGCCACATCGTGGATGTAATACTGGTCCGCATCCGGCGCGATCCGCCCCAGCAGCGTGTCCAGCGCCGGCGGCTGGCCCGCGCGGATCGGGTGCGAGATCGCGTAGCCGACTAGTTGGCCTTCGTTCCCGGCTTGGGTTTCGGGTTCGGGGGCTAGGGTCAGGGCCCAGCAGCCTGCCGGGAAGAGGCGGATGCGCTCGGCGAAGATCTCCGGGCGCTCCGGGAGGGTTTGGTGGATTTGGTTGGCGATGGTTGTTAGGGCGGGGAGGTCGGTGGGGTGGAGGGGGCGCCAGGGCATCTTTTTTTTTATTTTTGTCGGGGATTGGAGGGTAGGAGGATGTTTGGTTGTATAGATGTGTGGTGTGATAGGAGGTTGAGGGGTGGAGGGGTTGAGGGAGGTTAGGTGATGTAGGTGATGGAAGTTATGTACTAAGTGTGGTTTGGTAGGTTGTTGTTGTTTCATTGGGTGAAATCTTTTGCTCGCTGGAAGCCTGCAGTGCCAGCCGAGGTCCTATCCGCTTCCGTTTAATAGGTGGCTACTGCGGTAGGATGTGGGGTGCTTGATGTACATACACATTTTGTCTTTCTTTTCGTCGAGTATCTACTATATCTAGGTAACCGCTTGGTAGATATCCCAGCTAAGTATCTGAATCAACACAAAATTAATTGTCAATGGCCATAAACTGATACACTCGCTGCTGAGTGGGGAAGTACAGGGTAGGCGGTCAGGTATCCTGTGTCCGCTCAAATCAAATCTCCCAGCTTTGGTGTGCCGAGGGCGCTACTAGGTAACACATCCCCGCTGACAAGAGTGATGATGTACTACCTCAGCCATGCTAGAGCGAGGTATTACGTGATCGTCCTTAGGAGAAAATTGAACTCATACTTGGATTGCCTGGCGGATTTGTTGATAGCATGGGCTTGACCTCCCCACCACTAACAAGCTGCACTGTACAGTATTTCCCCAAAAATCAAATAAGCAGACAAGGCCGTTCGACACAAGGTAAGAAAAATGCATGGGATCCACCACCACTAATCAATTAGTGATTTCTCCCTCTACTCCCGCAGCAAATCGTCCAGTGCCTGGGCCGGTGTCCGCTTTGGCGCCGCGATCTCCAGCACCTCCCGGCTTGTCGTAGAAGCAGCACACTTCCCCTCCCACGCCGTCCTGAGCGCGTGCTTGACAGACCAGACCACATTCCGCGAAGACTGCGGAGCCCCCATAAACTCTCGCTCAAGGTACGCCTCGAGGTCCGACAAGTCCTCATAGCAGACCCTCTCCACCGGCGCCCCGATACGGTCACCCACCATCCGCACGATCTCCCGCCCGGAGACATCCACGGGCCCGTTGACCACATACCGGGCCCGATTGTGCACCTCAAGGTCCGCCTGGACTAAAAGGTGCGCCGCCAGGGCGCCCACCTCATCGGGATCGACGATGCCCACCGGCGCCGTCTCCGAGGCCATCAGCCTCAGCGTCCCCGGCTTTGCGTTCTTACGGGACTGCTTGATGAACTCCGCGGCGGAGGCAAGCCACAGCCCGGCAAAGACATTCGGCTGGAGGGAGGTCCACTGCAGGCCGTGGAACTCCGGTGAGCTCAGGAGGCTCTCAATGGCCCAGTGGGCCCGGGCGTAGTAGGCGTCGCAGTCCGGGCGGATGTTCGCGGCCGTCGTCGAGATGCGCACCACGTACTTGACCCCGGCGCGCAGGGCGGCGACGTGGAAGGTCGATTCCTCGGCGAATTGGTTGGGTTGGTTGTGCGCGGCGAGGAACGCGCGGACCACGCCGTGTTCTTGGAGCCAGGATGGGGTCAGGTCGACCCAGTTCTGCTCGATGACCTCCACGCCCGGTAGTTGGGCGAGCTGCTGCGCGATCGCGCTCTGGGGGGAGCGGGTGAGGGCGAGGATGCGGTGGTTGGGGAGGGTGTCGGTCGTCGCTAGCAGTTGGGATAGGGTTTTGACGACGTTTCGGCCGGTGTTGCCGGTCGCGCCGGCGATGAGGATTGAGGGAGCCATTGTTTGGTTTTGAAGAGATGGGGAAGATGTAGTTTGCTTCGCAGAGTAGAATGGAGTTGAATGATGGACATTGCGGTAATCCAGGCCAGCGACCAGTGCAGTACTTATAGCTGCGTTGTGGTCCGATGATTGGAAATTGTTCAGGTAATCATCTTGTCGCTTCATTTCAAAGTACAGAAAACTTCATACCGACATTTCACAGTTTACAACCAAAAGCACAATACCTATCGCCGTATACCAAGCTGAGTGATCAAGGCGGGCACTCCGAGCAAGGTGGGCATCCCGATGCCCGCACGGGGTGGGCACTCCGGACAGAGTGGGGCACTCGGAAGTGGCGTGCCAAATCCATAAACCTGTGTCTTTGACCATAAGACAGAATTGTCTCTTCATCTACTTCCTTCAAGACACCTTACTAAGCTATGTATTGTTAATCATATCAGGGGTAAGCCACCAAAACCTTATGGGAACGTCGGCTTGTCCCTACGCTCACCTTTACGGTGTAGTCTCGAGCCAATAATGCCGTTGATTATCTTTCATAAGTCCTAGAATATTTGACAAATCAGCGAGATGCTCTCGAGTCCTTCCAAAACATATAAGTGTCGATTTCCGGGCTGCAGCTTGAGCTACCAACGGAGGGAGCATCGCCATCGTCATGAAGCGCAACATACCCGCCGTCAGCTTCCGCAGTGCTCGATTTGTGCTCAAACATTTAGCCGGCGGTAAGAAGTGACTTGCCTACTATAATCCCTCCCATGTGAGCCAATGCTGAGAAACGATAGCGATACACTCCGCCGGCACATGCAAAAGGTGCATGTCACCAAAGAACCGGCGGTGCCTCCCACCAAAAACGCCTGCACACTGTGCCGAAATCTAAAAATTCGGTGCCACGGCGGGCCACCATGTAGTAACTGCCTGCATCGTGGGATTCCCTGTTCTCTTGACCTCCACGGACAGACTGATGTAGAGTCTGGTGACAACCCCAAGCGCGCGTCAGACCCACAATTCATGCCGTTGCGATCGCTGCCCACCCAACCCAAGGCGAACCGCTCCGCCAAGGAGAATCACTATCTCGGTCTGTATTTCAAGCTGTTTCACCCTCACTGGCCCTTCATTCACCGGGGCTCGTTCAGTGAGTATGAGACGCCCTTGCTGGTGCAATCTATGGTTGTCATAGGTCTGTGGCTGAGTCGAGAGAAAGACACACAGTCCAAAGCAATGAATCTGCACCAGGTCCTTGACTCCGCCATTCGCGAACAGACAGTATGTGACTCAGCACCTCCTGCACTAGAAGTGTATTCAACTGATGGGAAATTCCGTAGGCGGTTTGGGATGCCTCGAGCTTAGAGGACGGATGCAGTGCTTGTTCGTGGCCCATCCCGACGTACCAGGCCATCTTGCTCCACACAATCTTCGCCGGGCTGTCCCAGGGCGGTGAAGGGCTTGGCCCGGACCTCAAGCCTTCCCTTGCTCCCCCTGACCGCGATCTGCTGGAAAGGCTGGTCGCGAGTTGCAAGAAGCTGGGGCTGCTGTATTATCCCAACATGCTCAACCGTTATTGCCAGGATGATCTAGCGACCTATGTGTGGGTGAGCATCGAGGAGGTCAAACGATTCAACATGACGCTGTTCAAGGTTTGCAGAGCGTTCAGCGGTGCAAACAGACAAACGAATAGTCGGGGCGTTGCGGAAATGGCACAGCCAGCAAGCGGGATCCTTCAAGTACGCGATCTGCAATTTCCGTGGCCACGAAATACCCCGTTGTGGAATGCGGTGGGCAAAGCAGAATGGCTCTCTGTTGCGACCGAAGACGTTTTTCGCCATAGTCCACATGACACTTTGGAGGTGGAGTGGATCTCGAATTCTGCTGGTGTTCTGGAGATGCTCGACGGTTGATTTGGCTTAGTATCCAGCTGGGTGACTTGGATCATTTGACCACAACTTTGACGATATACCCTAATTAATGTCAAAAGTATCGACACTGGTATGGAGGAGTTAGCCTAGAGGAAGGTGTTTGTCCCTTTACCTACATTTTCATGCTATTTATCTCATATCAGCGTTGTTATGATGGGAATTGTTGAATAACCTAGAGACCTGATAAATGGGCTCCGCCTCAGGCCCCACAGTCATCCTGCATGAGGCTATACGCTAATTGATATCCCCGAGATCGGCACCCCTGATGCTTTAATCAAGAGACCCATGGACTCTTGGCAGCCTCGACAAACTGGGGCTCTGATGGAACGAGCTACCTCCCTTGGCAAGAAAACGAACGACTATGAGCTTCCTCAGGTGACAATAGGACAATAAAGAACAAGTTAGTTTCACTGCAGCGTTAATCTGTGCCGTCGGTATCATGCTGCTCACCCTGCGCAACCTTATTGCTATAGCGGATACCAGAACCCAATGGACATCAGCTCTCAACCAAGCAGCAGATAACCCTTCTGCTCCGTAAAAAGAGGACTTTGAAAGGCATTTACATCATAGCCATTGTGCTGTTAGTATGTATGCCATCCTAATACAAGCCATCATTTGAGTCCTCGGCTTAGTCTCTTCCTTCTGCCAAACTCGTTTTGGAAAGCAGGTCATAAACAGCAAGTAGCATATATCAAGCAATAGCTCATGGCTCACGTCTTACTTAACAAGCAGGTGTAGCGAGCAGGATCTGGTGATGGAAGGTTGCCCCAGTTCTGGCTAAGCCTCGAGGCCCCACCTACCAAGCCTTCAATGGCCACCTCGCGAAAGCTTGGTGGGACAACTACCCCACACCGACAAGGCTGCAACTCCGCAATTTGGGGGCGATGAGGCTGGCTGCCCGGAAAAGGAAGTCTTCGAGACTCATCACCGTCAGGGTTCTATGCACTGGGTAATAGAGAATGGGGGAAGATAATCCCGCTTGACCAGGTTAATTCAAGCTGCCGCAATGGACCCGTTCTCCGGCCCCCAAAACGGTCCCACATGGCCTTCCAAGTTGTTGCATATGACTTCTCTGACGAAACGGTGAGGACCTTCTCCACCAGGCCCTGGAAAGATGGATGAGGCTCGCGGTTTTACGCTCCTTGTATAGGCGCAACATGAATATAAATACCTCCCAATCCTCTCAGACACTTCAAACCTCGATCATCACACAAACCACCATCTCAATTCTTCTCCTCCCTTTCATCCTAAGTCCATCTCTCTTACCTTACCAAAAACAAAACAAAAGAAAAAAAAAAAAGCCTGCAAAATGCTCGCCAAATCCCTCCTCCTCACCCTGTGCGCCACGGCCTCCACCGTCGTCGCGACCACCGACATCATCCACTTTCTCTACGCGACCGACTCCTACAGCGACATCCAGGGCGCCGGCAGCGGCTACTCCGCGGGCTTCACCCTGACCGACAACGACGGCAACACCATCTACAACAACGCCGACCCCGGCGGCTACGCGCCCTGCATGGACAACAGCGAGAAGGTCCAGTACACCTCCGACTGCTTCACTGGCACCTGGACCTTCGGCTGCGAGTCCGCCTTCGACGGCAGCCCCAAGCTCTGCAGCGCCTACGACCCCGACGGCACCGCCTACCCCGGCAAGGCCAAGGAGTCCCTCGATTTCATTGGCATCAGCGCCGGCATCACCGGCACCTGCAGTGGCGAGGTTACCATCCCTGGCAACACTTGTACCTCTGATAGCACGTTCAAGGTTGTGAAGCGCTACCGGGGGAACTATAAGTCTGTTTAGATTGGGAGTGAGGGCTTGGGCTAGGACTGGGATGTCGCCGTTGGGGGTTGGGTCGATTTCCGGCTTCGCCCCTGGAATGTTTCAGGTCGGTGATCGGTTGGCTAGCCAGTGCCGGGGGTTAATTGATGTATAATACCATGTGTGATAGACTTACTGAATATGTATACTTGATGCAGAGATATGTACATAATCTGGAACACGAGCATCGAAGCTTGGAGTTACCCTATTTTCATCGTCGCAAATCAATATCTCTTTCCACTAACAGATGATTAGCTTAGCTAGGGCAATCTTAAGCCTCCAGCTATACAATCAAACTACCACGGTTCTTGGTCGTATGCATTAGCTGTACTAGGTTATATAGAATTTGACCTTGCTAGCCAACCAATCACCAACACTGGTCAAGGTCATCTCATTTTCTTCTCAAGAGATACCAGAAATTATACATTTTAATAGGTGGGTCCGCAACGTCTCGATGTCGTCGAAGTTTCTTCCGAGTAGGTAGTAGCCTATCGCCGCAGCCGTGGGTCTCTGACAGCTGACCCGGCAGGACAACCGAGATCTATTCAGCGTCAAGCTTTGCTTTTGTGGGTCACTTGGCAAAGAGCTAAGATCCGGTCTACAGGTCGGTCTATAACTGCTTAATCTAATGCATTATGGGTAGCCTTATGCGGTCCAGCCCACATGGTAACAAACAGAACAAAAAGTGGCTAATTACTGGAATTTATCTTTTTGCGGGCTGGATTCTTGAGGCTATACTAGTGCTGGGTGTTGAAACGGATCGGGTCTCTATGATATTCATCTCTCAGAGTCTGAGATATCGGGTGCAGAGGAGACACGCGCTGCACTCGAACATTGTATCATCTCTGGTCGGGGTTGAACAATGACTCTGAGATTGTTCCCGGATTCATGTCACATGAGATATCAGAAGAGTATTCTCTGATGTATTCTAACTTAAGACTAGCTGGGTACGGAGAAATAAACCACAAGAAATTCGTGATGAGTGAAGCCTATAGCAGCGGAACCGAACGGTGCAGTTCAAATAGGCACTAGGGCGGGATCTATGATCCACTTCTCGAGGAAGGCTTGCGCGTCCCTGACACCACAGACTTTAACTTGAATGCCTGTTTTCCGTTTGTCCCTCTGCCCTCAGAAGTCCTGCCCTTTGGCTCGGTATTTACATCTGTCTCCAGCATTCCGCTCGTTTTGCCTTTCATTTGCACAGAATACGCAGTCGAACTTAGCCCCATGGATCTCCCAAACGAGCAAATAACCGCAAACCTGCTGAGTGCAGCGATATGGTTGCTACTGGTGCTACTACTGATGGCTCTCACTTTTGCAATTCTGGGAATTCTCGTCGGGCTTCTTTGCGCCCTGATCACGACGGCGACCACGCTCTTTGCGTATGCTGGGACCGACCTGTGGGAAAATCTTGAGAGTTACTGTGAGCGAGCCCATCGCCCTCGCCTCCTCGGGCTGGTCAGCTTAGTCGCTAAGGTCCAAACCCCCGACTCGGAGCGGGCCTTGCAACTCGACTACCTCCAGAAGAAACACGCGCTCGTGGCTGAGGCTAGCGCTCTAGTTCAGCGCCATGCCCGGTTAGCGGCGCAAATTGACGAAGCTCGAGAACCCCAGGACTCTGTTCCCCACTCGACAAAGGACCACTCGATGCAACGGAACCAGCTCATGCAAGAATCCCACACCGTCTCGGTGCAACTACGGACGAACTGGCAGAAGATCAAGGCACTGAGTGACGAGTACCCGGTGAAGGGTGCTTGGATCCGGGCAGATTCAAGGATGGCTAAGAAACTGGAGCCCTATGGGAAGGAGGCACAGGCGTGCCGGCTGTGGGGTGGCTGCTGTAGGTTTGCTGACTGCGATTGTTGTGTCAAGCCTCGTGCGTGGAAGGGAGTAGTACCGACGGACTGGCCGGAGTTCTACATGTATTTTCACTGCACCAGGGAGTGTGGTTGTTGCTGGCGGCGCGAACGGTCTCTCTTTGGCGGGGGTGATGATGGTGACAGCGACGCCCCAATGTAGGTTGAATTGATCTGATCACCTTCAAAGTTTTGAATATATGTTGCTCGCTAGGGATTGAACCAGCATTCGGCTGCAATCTTGGATTTCCGATGGGAAATCTGAAGTGAGCGATCGCAAGTCGAAAGACGCTATACGGGGTCTTTCTGCAAGACCTTCTATAATATCAGCAAAGCCGAAATGGTATATCTTTCTGAGCGCTTGTGACTCAGTCACTTCAATTGCAAAGTAAACACCTTCTGGTGACAACTCCCTTGCAATCTCAGCGCCCACAGTGTGAGATATAAGTCTCCTGCGAAGAAAATATTTTCTACAGTGTCAATGATAACAGGTTGATGTAGAAAGGATGTTCTCTGTGCGGTCTTCTATCGGGAACAGATCAATGATAAAAGGCAGGATGAAGAGCGATGCAGATAACGAATTCAAGGGAATGTGCAATTACGTATCAAATATGTGCTCGGTTTCACTGCAGCAGTGAACTATATCAGACAGTCAAATCTCTGCATGCAGTTCACAAGACTATAGATCTGATAATCCCTGGCCCACTCCCGACACATTCCCAGAACGGCAAGCGTCATCGAGATTGAGCCACCTCCGATTGGCTGTCTTGCTTTCCGCACGGCGAATTTACTCGCTCACTAATCCGAGAGTGTATTAGCTCCCCTGACAAAATGTATTTCTCTCCCTTAGATCAACAATCCAGCTACTATACCTTAACCATAAACATTGTTTGTCAAGAAGAGTCATTCGATCAATTTTCTGCACATTTCTCTGTCCAAGCCTCATCACCTTGAGTCAAGCACCCAAAGAAAACACACTTACGCGAGACTAATCCGCAGTTGCACGCAGTGACATTCTTTCTCCGCGGGCTCGGCGCAGTGTACCAATCAGGCCAGTTGGAAATCTGACTCACCAGCCTGAACCTCAAGCGATAGGCGATAACGGTCTGCGGGGGGGCTTGTCAATAAGGACAGCCCGGTGGGCCGACTCACAATTGAATCACAAAAACCACATGGAGAAATCATTCTGTCAGAACCAATTGATGCAAGTCCATTAGACTATAAGAAGCCAGTGTCCTCTTCCTGAGACAACTTTCATCTAAATCAAACCCCGCACCCACCGCGCCTCTCTTTCCTCACCACCACCACCACCACCAAAAAGCATCACAACAAGAAACAACAAAATGTACCTCCGCGCCATCCACGCCGAATCCAGCATCGCCTACCTCCACCAACTCATACGCGATAACCCGCTGGGCATCTTCACGACCGCCATCAGATCCCCGTCCTACCCGCTCCTCCAAACCAGCCACATCCCTTTCGTCCTCGACGTGCCCGAGTCTCTTCCGCCCGTCACCGATGCCGCCGCGGCCGAACCCACCACCCACCTCGGCACCCTCCGCGGCCACATGGCCAAACAGAACCCGCAAGCCAAGGCCCTGATGGAGGCACTCGCCGCCCACCAAACTGCCAGCAATAGCAGCGGAGCCCTCGAACTCCCCGACGAGGTCCTCGTCCTCTTCAACGGCCCCCACCACCATTACGTGACGCCCAAATTCTACACCGAGACCAAGCCCGCCACCGGCAAGGTGGTGCCGACCTGGAACTACTCGGCCGCCCAGGTGTACGGCAGGGTCCGGGTGTACTGCGACAGCAAAGCCGACGAGACTGGCGCGTACCTGCAGCGGCAGGTGGAGGATCTGTCGCGCGAGGCGGAGACGCGGATCATGGGGTACGAGAAGCCGTGGGCGGTGGCGGATGCGCCGTTCAAGTATGTCGAGTTGCTGAAGAAGAATATCATCGGGATTGAGATCCGGATTGAGCGGTTGCAGGGAAAGGTGAAGATGAGTCAGGAGATGGGGGAAGGGGATCGCGAGGGGGTCATTCGGGGGTTTGAGGCGTTGGGGGGGGAGACTGGGTTGGGGGTTGCGGGGACGGTGAGGGAGAGGGCGGGGTTGATGGGGTTGAAGAAGAAGGAGAGGGCTGGAGCCAAGGAGGGGGAGGTTTGATCTGTGCGGGTTGGGCTGTGTATTGTACAACAGGAGATAAACTGATACTGGGATGCTGTTTCATGAGATTCATTAGGTCTGTGTTGCGATTGAATACCATATGTGTATGGGCTCGAGTAGATTGTGATTTGCTTGGCGGGATCCTCTTTATCGCTAATGGAGGAATGTGCATTAGAGCCTCGCTGTTATTGACGTCAGGGGTGTATGTTCTTTGCGTTAAATTGTGAAGGTCAGCAAATGGTTGTTGGAATCTGAAGCCAATATCGTATGATACGTCTCTTTACTAGCTTGAAAACAGGTGGGAACATTCTGAGGAGATCTCAAGGCAGTCGCCGGCATTATCTTTCTAAGAAGGTTACTATCGAGATGACGTTAGACTATTCAGTGAAGGCACATTGTTCGAGCCATGTGGTTGTACCATTTCGATGTGAGATGACCCCGTGACTATGGGGTCAAGAGTGGTGGAGGGAGAGGTTGAATGCATACCATATTGTTAGCCCATCTGTCAGTCACGACATGAAGCTAGTACTATAACCATCAATGTTTTCTCAGACTTCATCGGGCGGAGGTGAACGCGAGAGCCCTAAACATCTCAAACCTGAAAGCAACGAAAGCATCCATGTCCCGTAGACGGTCCGACGGAAGTTTCCGAGTAAGGCTGAACTGCCCAGTGGGTGCCGTTCGTCACCGACAACGTCATCCCTACCGATTGGCGGCTTGTGCGGTTGACCGATTATGATTTGTTGATCCGTCAGAACAGAACGGCAGGCTGATTGCCAGTGGCCACTGATCGCCCCACGGACAAAACCACTCACCCATGCACAGCGGATCGGATAAATGGATGCGACATTCTTTTGCTCTCAGTCTCAGCTGACGGTCGTGTAGACTGCTTGATTCTGATCCGTTTTTCCCGAAACCCCGAGTCCGTTCACACTACGGAGTAGACAAGGATCCTTCAAGGCAACCAACAACCCCAGGGTTTAAATCTTCAGTCCTGATGATTGGGGCCCGGGGGGGGGGGCCACCTGTGGGGAGGTGCAGTGGTTCTGTTACGGCGCCTCTTTTTCGCAAATCATGGAAGTGGGGCTCGCTTTTTGGATGAAGGTGGAGCGTATCCGAGCACCGGACACACCTTGTTGGCTGTAGACTTTCGTTGATGTCTGGGCCCTATCCTCCTAGTCTGGCGGAGGACGGCGCTAGACAGCAAAACCGCCTTGGATAGCTTCAGCCCTCAATGCGTTCCTGGTGGGAGGTTGAGCCCATAGCGTCATAATTCCCCACTTGCCGGGGATGTTAGTCAAATTTCACACTTTCCAGCCCGTGGCTTTTCTCTGAGCGATTTTTGGGAGAAATGAGGTCATTGCTCGGCTGCTGATTGTTTTTGTTTTTGTTGTTCGGGAAGTGGGTTCGTAGTTGGCCTTTTGGGCCAGTTGGATGCATGCTCGCGTAATTCAAGGTCGCCGGCGGGGGATACGGGAAATGTTGGGATGCGGAAGGCGCCGTAGTATAGGTGAGTTGGGAATGAAATATGGAGGAGAATAGAATGCCTTCTACGTACAGCCACAAGATCTCTGGGCATGGGTCAAGAACTACTGCAGTGAACCTGCGGGTGGGGCCTTAATTTCTTTGAGCAAGGATTCCTGAACTGCGGCTGAGTATCTGTCATATCCCGAGGGAGGTAGAAACCCTAACCTTCGACTTGACCGTGATATGTAAGTAGCTAGGAGAAGCTGTTGGCGGACGATGACTTCAAGGGTGACAGCAGGTGATGCCTTGAAAGGGCGGTATATTCGGCCTCTCCCATCCGACGCTGCTGCACAGTTGGATAAAGGGAGAAGGGCATTGGATACGTATGTGAGGGATACTGCTGTACGGAACGTCCATCCAGCCAGTCGATCGCCTGGCCCTTTGCTCTTAGACTTCCCACTAACTACTCCGTACTGGCTAGCGTAGATACAACGGCCAACGATTACCGCGGCATACAGATATGGATCGATGGTTTTCCCCCGGTCATTCGAGTCAGATAAGCAAACCTTCGTGTCGAAGATCGACCAGCTGAAAGATTCCAGGAGGTGGTATGTACTGTACTGAACTGTACTGACAGGATCATCGAATGTATTGCTTCGTACTCCGTACAGTCGAGATGGATATGTGGTGTTCGTGTCAGAAAGGGGCGGTGGTGGATTTGGGGGAGTCCGGGTACGTAAGACATTTTCCCCAGGGGCTGTCCTTTCCGCTCGTTCAGCAGAAGACCCTGAAACCGACAATTTGAGCTAGCCCATACTGGCAATTTGGCGTTGACAGCATCATACAGTGCTTCTCTGTCTAGTGTACGGAGGGAGTACTGTATCTTGTAAAGATTTGCTCAGGCCGAGCCCTTCTGTGCTCTGTAGTCCTGATGTACAGTAACTTACATATGTGACTAGCGACTACTGCACGAACTGTCTCCTGACCACTTACCTAGAACAGTTTGTTGTAGTTTATTGACTGCAGTTGTATACATGTACGAATCTTTTGTACGGTATTGTACAAGTACCCTTGTCTGGTGCAAACAGCGTGGCGGATCCCCCCTAAGAGACTTAGTCCCGTTCTTTCCCACACTCACAGTAACTTAACTCCACTGCTTTCGGTCCAGCCTGGTTCGGCCACCCAAATTTAGCAACCCAGTCAAAAGAAAAAAAAAAAAGAACGACAATAATACAAGACCTTCCTCTACAATACGTTACTTCCACACCCAAAAACATCCCCCCTCCTCCCTCTTCTCCCCATCTTCAATTATTATTTACCCGACTGCGTAATGCCAGGACGGAGCTGATAATATCTTCTATCCAAGGGGATCTCTTTATCCTTTCCCTTCTTCCCCTTCTTCTTCCTCCTTCTGTTTTCATTCTCATCCTTCGTCTCCTTCGTCTCCTCCTCTACCCTTCCTAGTTACGTTCTTGCAGGGGGGTATCGCGGTAGTGCAGGCCCGCCCTCATTTCCTTATCTGTGCCAGAACATCTGACTTTCCTCTCACTCTAATCTGCTCTCGTCTTGTTTCTCCAGCCTCGACCACGTCAAGTGGGATTTGCCGAGTGAACTATTTTCTCCCCTTTATGGCTT